AACAGTACTAGCATTCCAAGCAGAAGAGACTCGATTATGCATTTACCCAGCAGTCGATGCGGTCATCACCGAACGTCGTGAGTTTTGATGTTCCATGTTTCAGCCTCTTTGTCTCCCCTGTCAGTTAGCTGGAGCTATTTTAGGGTTAATGCATCACGTGTCCAAAGCTTTTCGGGCCTTGGCAAGTTCTTCTTACAACTTTCCAAACCGTCACCAAACTCTGAGAGTACAGAGCACATCCTGATGGATACGAACTGAACAGCTCCAAGTCACGGATTGATTTCTCTGCATATTTCTTATGCTTTTCAATCTAATAAATTTCGGTTTGCTTCAAGCTCTTGATACCTTACTTCTCATTTTCCAGTTTAAATCTGGATGAACACCCTCTGTTCCCATATCATCCACGTCAAAAAAAGAAAAAGACAAGAAAAGAAAACCATGAATTTTTATAGCACATGCTCTACACTTTCCAGTTGGCTGGAAAGGCTAGACGATTCCCTCAATCTTATAATGTTATAGCCCTCCTCGCCGGAATATCTGCCACCTTTGTGACACGTCAAGGAAGGGCGGAGCGGAACAGGAGCTGGAGAATCCTCCTCCCGATAAAAACAGCCGAGAGCTCCTTGGCGAGAAGCAGCCTCTCCACATGTAACATCACAGCAAATGCAACCAAGGATTCTTGTCCTTATACGGAGTACCTACAGAGCGGAGATACTTACATGTATACATATATTATTATGTATACCAGCCCGTCATCTTGATTGCATGTGGTTACAGAGCTGGAGAAATCTTTTCCTGGGGCTCTTAGTGTCGATGTGTGAAGCTAAGTATCTAGATACCTTTGTATGTGTGGCCTAGGGACGAACACGTCGTACATTCTAACTTGGCTAGAATGTTATATATATATAAAAAAAAAAGCACAATTGTTTCACTGCTGTGATGTCTGGAAATATCCCTGCCGGGCCCTCTATCAGAAAATTCATATATAATGAGTGACATGATATTCATATAAACTCTCACTCATACGTGATTTTACCATATACCATGCATTTCTGCTAATTTCTAACTAGACATTCGTCATCATAGGTGCTATGCAATGTTTTCCTCTTCTCGTCTTCAAGGACATCGGAAAATGAACAAGTGCATATGAAATCTTTCACATTCGAAAGAATAACTGGTACCCGATACACGTAATGAGCTGTCCGTTTTATCTGTACAATTACACTGTCCCATATCAGCTCAGGAAGTCATTGGTTGGCTGGATTCTCATTGCAGGAAGAAAAGATATCCAGACCACACACCCTTTTTTACTTCTTGTGTTACGTTATCTAAGGTTTTAACTTAGTTATGCTTGCGGAGCTGAAAAAGCAGGAGGGAAATATGAAAATAAAGAAATGGAAAAAGAATTACGGAAACAGGATATGAGATACCCCAACACCACTCCAAATGGGTGCTAAAAATGCGACCAAATTGATGATATGCTTCATCAATAGCAGATACACGAAAAGCAACAGTTTTCGGTTAACGATGTCCCCGGAACTACAAATATATCGGGGACTAATAATGAAAGGATTAAAATGGACTGGGAGAGAGAAACCCAAAGGTTGCACGATGCCTATCAGGACAGAAGGACTCTGCCTTGACTCAGTTGATCACAAAGTGGGAGATCATCTCGGAAGGGGTTTTTTACTTTTTCGAAGATAAGCCCGTGGGCCAGAGGGACTGAATCACGTTTCTTCTCCGTTCTTTCATGGATGATTCTCCCATCTTTTGGAGGGCTTCCGTTGTTGGCAAAGTAAAGATTTGTACTGAAGGGACAGGGAAAAAGAAGAGGAAGGGTATAGTTTTCTTTATTTGTTTTTCTTTTCCCATGACAGGAATCCAATATATGTCGATGAAAGTATGACAATGAAGCAATCAAACTTAGGTGTTTCTTTTATGTGTAACGCGGAGAGTTCTAGATTTGATGACAGCGAATATGCTCTGAGCAGACCCCGAAGTTACAACAGAGTTTCAATACGTGTCGGTTTTTCTTGAATCAACTGGGCATTTTGTGCAATAAGAACTGGGCAAGAGGGGGAGAGGAGAGGAATCAGGTGTCATTCATTGTATGATATATGTATACGAGGCCATGAAGAGATGTCTGTTGTGGGAAGGAATCCGAAAATTCTCCATACAGAAAAGCTTCACTTGTTAGTTAGTTTCCGCCGAGTTCTTCACCTGCGTTCTATCCGAGGCCATGTAGAGATGTCCGTCGTGGGAAGGAATCCAAAAATTCTCCATACAGAAAAGCTTCACTTGTTAGTTAGTTTCCGCGGAGCTCTTTACCTGCATTCTACCCCATCCCATGGTTCAAAGTCAGTTTAAGCTACGGTCCATGGGGTACTTTGTCGTCGTACTGTGTACCTTGCGTTGCGGTACCACCCGCTCTCTTCTCGGTTCGTCACTGGGAGATTGGAACAGCAAAAAAATAGCTTCAAGGAACATAGTTAACTTGAACGAAAATGGAAAATGATCCGCCTCCTTTTGTCAGTTCGCTTAATTGGTTCCCTTTTTTAATTTTTTTTTCTTATTTTTGGTGTTGTCATATTTGGCATCTGCCATGCCTCTCCATGTGCCCAAGGTATAAACTTAAAATGGATCGAGAAGCTTTCAGGATCGACCCGCCTACGCTACGGTTCACGCGAATCGTGTTGCTGTGGATGATTGCTATTGTGGGGCGATGTCTGTGAGTAATGGAATGCCTTCCATCTGAAAGGGGAAGGGGTACTTTGAGAGGAAGTGATGGTACATTTCTGTCAACAGTGCAGCCAGTCATGTGGGGAAGTACCAGGCCCATTTGCTGGAGGTACCTCAGCCTTGAATAAATTATGCTTATTTTTAGAGCAGGATTAAAGTTATCTTTCTACCGATGCTACATGTGAACGGACTTAAATAAAAACTACAGAGTGACACAGCATGGTAAGTGATTTGATATATTTGTTTTAAATGTACAATACCCTGGTGAACTTCGAACGACGTTTCTCTTCTCGAAATACGAGCTAACACTGCTGGGTTTGTTATGTTCTCCCTGGCGGGTCTTCAAACTTATTTCCACGGCTCCAATCCACCCGTGGTACTTTGGATTGCCCGGGAATCTCGCATCGCTTACCAAGATTGGAAGCTTTCCCCAGAGTTAATTGATTACTTGGGTTCCTCCGGAAAATATATACTCCCACGGGGAAAAAAACTTAAAAAGTCAACGGAACGAGTAATTAATTCCCCGGCTCGGATACGTTGTATGTATCTGTATGTACCGTATAAAAAACAAAAGCATTCTCCTAATCCCCCTCCCTCTCAGCCAATCTTAGCTCGAGAACCGGGATACTCGGTTATACCTCGAAACTTTGACCAATTTTGGGAATTAGATTGATCAAATTCCCATCAGTTTTGTACGGGCATTTGTCCAATTTCCCAATCACGTAAACCAGCACCAATAAACAGAATAAATTCGACACCCGCGGCATCGAGCACGGAGGAGACAAGGGTTGACCCTAGGAATCAAGAAATTATCATGGCGGGGGGATCTGATTGTCGCTGGCTTTCTGTTCCGATTTTCCGGCATAATTTCTCAATTCTCCTCTTGATTCTTGAATACAGGCCTGACACATGGTGGTTAAAAAGGTCTCATCACGCCGGCAGCACGTGCGAGAGATGGATGAGTTTTGAAAAACTCTGGTTCTTCGTGTATACGGGGCGTGGCCAGCTCGATCCAAGGTCAGAATAACAAGGTAATTTCCAAGTTATGTCTCCCGCAATGAAGAGATGGCTTGGAAAAGGGATTATGCGTGATGATGAAGGGGGGATCGTCTCCAATTTGTTGATTGTTGAACGTGGTGTGGTTGGTGTGGAAGTCCGATACGTATGGTACTGTATTTGTACTTGTAACTGTGGTAAACATGGGCAGCAACGATGGTTCCAAAACAGCAAGGTCGGGTATGCTATTCAGCTTTTCAAGGCGTCATTCTTCCACTTAATTTTTATTTTTCGCTTCCCGCAGCTAGTTTTACCATACCTTACCTTACCCTGTTTTGCCTGTGTTTTTCCAGTTCCCCGCATCTCCTCGCCACAGTGTTCGGACTTTCAGCGGGTCCCCGTCACTCAGTCAACTCCGTCACTTTGTCACTCCGTCACATCGACTTCGCATTATTGAGGCTGTCGCTTGAACCAACTGAACATCATCGACAGAGACTAAACAAATCTACTACTCTACAACACTTGCCACTTCTCCTCCTCTCACACCCTCCCCTCCTTTCCTCCCCTCTCTATTCTTCCCTTGTACTGCATCGTCCCTTAATCCCCCCTTTACCTCGATTATTTGTCGTCTCTACTTGTAGATACCTGCCGCTAACGCGTTCCTGTACTGTATACACCAGCCCTCATCCCACCCAGCCTCACCCAACTACTACATACATAGTTATCTACCTCTCATAATGGTTGTCTCTCTTATTAATCATTATTGATACCTTCTGGGTCTTCCTGCTCCTCACAATACCATCCCTCGTCCTCCTATCAGCTGCGGCCGCAGGGTGTCTTATACATCCAGTGACAGCTGAGTGATCCTGCCCTCACTTCCCAGCTCCAAGTTGACAACGCCCTTCACTCCAATACCACGATACATTTATACCCCCCTCGACCCTCCCAACCCCAACCTACCTACGCCTACCAATCGCTTCTCTCGCTCGTCTTTCATCAACCCTCTCTTCAGTGTTTGTACCATCATCTTTTTTCCATGTTCCCCCACCCTTCTCTCCATGTTCCTGGCCCGGCTTGATCGTCGAGATCCGGCTCCCTGGTGTCCCTCGCTTCCGATCCTAGTGTGTAACGTTTTTCTTGAACGGTTTTGCGTGTTCACCAGCAACCTGGCCAAATTGTAACAGTCCCAAATCTAACTAATTTTTATCTGCGTATCTCTACAGATGAATTGGCCGGTTTTTGTGTCGAGGCCTCCTCTTCCTAATATGTCGTGAGTATAATTTTATCGCTGTCGTTGGTCGTTCGTTATTTGTTTGGCTTTGCCTGTCCTTTTGGAGCAGAAACATATGCATTTTCCCTTGGGGTTCCTTCCTCCCGTCTGGCGCCCTTTCCCTTTTTACCCCCCTTCCCTCCTTCGCCCTTTCGCTCCTTCCTCTCTCTCTGTCTGCCAGGCATACTGCCCCCCAAACCCGCTTTTCTTCCGTCTTCCGTCTTCCTTCTTGCTCCTGTTCCTCATTCCTCAGCGTCAGCTTGGGGCGCCTCATTCTCTTCCTTCACTTCATCACCATCATCACCATCATCATCATCATCATCATCATCATCATCATCATTATCATCATCATCATCATCATCATCATCATCATCATCATCATATATGCGAAGCTTGCCGACCGACCAACCTACTTTTGTGATTCAAGAATGGACGGTTTACTAACCCATGTTCTCTCAACCGCGTAGATCCCCCCCAACTTCCAAGCGCATCAAGACAACTGTTGCCGCCAACACACCAACGCATCCTCTAAACCAACAGCAACAGCCTCCCCCCTTTACCGGGCCCGGCCCATTCGAGAGTGTCCCTATGGTGCCCACTCCGTCGCCAGCGTCCGTGCCAGCTCCAGCACCAACAGCTTCTAATCCCCGGAAGCGACGTGCGTCATTTCAGACTCCTCCTTTGGCCTCCATGGCCCCTCCCCCGCTAACAGGTGCTGTTGAAGGCGAGGGACAAACCACTACTGCTAGTACCACCGGCGCGACTGCGGCGCCCGAAACCGCAGGCAAGAAGAAAGGTCGAACAAACACGCCATGGACGGCGGAAGAGGAACAACGGCTCAAGACTATGCGCGATGCCGGTAGCACCTGGAGCGAAATTGCCAAGGTTTGTCCAACCTATTTCTGATGCCAACTTTGTAAAAATCATCGTATATATATATATATATATATACATATAATAACAATATCTAATATATGATGCATTAGACTTTCCCCATGCGGACCGAAGGGAGTGTGAAGAAACATTGGTACAAGGTTGGTTTTCCATTTGATCCTCTGCAGGACGTGCGAATCTATCTTTATGAGTCTAACCAAAATACAGGACATGCATTACGCTGAGTTTACCGAAGAGGAGGTATGTTATCATTCCAACCGGTAGTCATCACTGTTTCCGGAGATAAATTAAAATCTCGTCAGTCCATAACACTGCGTGATGCCATCAAAGAGTACGAATCGAATAAATGGAAAGTCATTGGGCAAAAAATCGGAAAGCCAGCAAAGGTGATATTTACTTCCATCCTGTTTCATCCTTTGTCCTATGTTATAACTATTCTGACGGTTCGAATGAAAACAGGCCTGCGAGCAATATGCGAAGGAGCATTTTAAAAACCTCTAAGTTACAATACCGTGACATGACATTTACGACGTACACCTGAATATTTGTCGGACTTTTTCCCCCCTCGTTCTTCCTTCTTCTTCCAGCTACTTGCACCTATTCCTTGTGCTGTTTTATATCCGTTTCAATGTCTTTATTTTTTGTTTGAGAACGTTATTTATGAATTGCGGCACACAGTTATGACGAGTAAACGGGATCGCAGGTTTCAGGAGTTAGGCTGGGCGTTCACACCTACTTATTCTAGCAGTTAGCAAGGTGGGGCAAGGCCAGGCAGTTTTCAGAGAGCTATACCCCCGGTATCCTGTGTTCTCTTCCTTTCCTTTGTCTTTTCGTTAGTTAATCTCTTTATATCTAATACTTTTCCCTGTGGAAAATTTTCCTTCGTTGCGTGGGAGTAGGATTATTCGGGAAACGGTTCATTGGACGAAATGTTACGAAATGATAAGGGTAACCAATTTATCTAACTTATCTTCTTTGGACTCTTAATTACCTTCTCGTCTACTCTTTTGGTCCCCTTCCTCCATTTTACCTTGTTACTCAAACCCATTTCCTCTTCTTAGTGACTTACTTCTTCAGGTCTACAAATTCGGGTGGTTATCCAAAGAAAATCAAGGCAAAGCACCAAAAATATATATATGTAAAATAAACATAAAAATAAACATAAAAGTAACCACAAGAAAAGGAATAATCAACTATGGAACAAATTATATCAGCAACTTGTAGCTAACTACGGCAATGAATGTCGGGAAGGATTTCCTCAGTGCTCCAGATCCCTGCAACGAGTCCCCATGAAAACCAACCTTCCTTCACTCCCATACTTCAGGACCCCAGTATCACGCGATACTCTCACGAAATTGTACCCCAGAAAGCCAATGACATCAGTTCTCTGGGAGCTGTCGAGTGGGAATCCAAATGGACGGTTCAGATGTTCGGAAAGTTCATGCGGCAATATTTATAACCTTATGGATTTGGAGAGTATTCGGGTGGGGTGTTACAAATGGAAGAAATATATATATATATATATATATATATATATTACGTCCTTCTTTGCAGCTCTTTCTCCCTCTCTAATCGTTGTATCAATGAATGAATGAGTTGTTGGGGTGATATACGTAAGCATGGGAGGCTCATAGTTAGTTGCCGGAAATGTAATACATATACGTACGTACGTACGTTACATACGTACATACGTACATACGTACATACATACATACATACACACCTGGGGTATGTATATCATCCCATGTTGCTCGATTGATAACGGGCAAAAATGAACGGTGAGTGGGTGAGTAGTTGTCCCTAGGTAGGTTGGTACGGTTATTTATTTTGGAGATATGACATCGCTTATGTGGCAGGACATGTTTGGGGCGTACGCGAGGAGAGTTCACGGAGAAATGCTATTGGAGGTATTGGCCAAGCAGAGGATGTTGATAAGAAACTCTTGACGTATATATTTTGCTTTAAGGGATGGATCCTTGGGCCCCGCAAGGCGGCTGCGGGAAAAGGGGGGGGGGGGGGGGGAAAAGGGTTCTGAGCTATGACCAGAGGTTCGTGGAGGAGGGAAGCTTATTAGAGAGGACTGGTTAGTTCAGCGACGCGCGCAAAAGCGAAGCAACAGGAACTTGAAAACCCAGCAGGATTTCGTTAAATCCAGGGTTGTTGTGAGTTAGACTGGTTAGACGTTGGAGAGGGCTTTTAATTGGCTAGTCAACTGATTCCCCGTTCATTTCTTTTTAATAGTTGCTTCGTTTGACTTGTGATTCACACCGTCAACTGATTCAACCGAGTCATAGTGTCATGTGAGGAGGGGAGGGTTAAAGCATATGAATAGAAAGAAAATTGCCCTTGATATGAAAAGTGAAGTTGGAAAATATAGTTACAGAGGAGGACCTTCAGCAACGCGCGTATGACCATACCCACACACGTAGTCTGACGTGCACGATTTCTGGCATAAGATTGATGCGAAGAAGATTGCGCAGAATACATGTGCTCCCCATTCTTCAGCTCTCTTCTTCCAGCTCTCTAGTTACTCTGCGATTCTGCAAAGTTAACTTGACGAACGTTGTCCCCATTCTTCGAACTCCAAATCCCCTCTCCCCAACCATGTTAGTTATGGACACTATTCCAAGTTTCTTACTGACGAACTTCGGGGAGGTTGTATCACTTCTCTCTTCTTCCCTTCGCCTTTGCTGAAGAATGGGATACGTTCTCAGCTTCCTCAGACTTTCAGCGGAGGGGGCGAAAACAGCTTGATGAACAAGTCCCATTTTTACTTTTCCGCGTGGTCTTAATTTTGAGTCAGTCGAAAGTTCGCTTCCGCCCACAATATGCTTGGTTTAACTTCTTGATCTTGCTGCAGTCTCATCTATTTTAGTCTTGTAAAGGACTTCACTTTGAGCTATAACTGTTCAAAATGATTGTGCGGAAGGGAATATCATGATCGAAAGCACTGCGGCATCCTCAATATCCCAACATCAACTGACATGCCTTTTAATAAATCAAACGAGATTCCGCAAGGCGTATCCACCGAACCCGGCAGCAAATATAGAAGATTGCAACAATCATCGTACCCTGCCAGGCCAGAGAAATTCTAAATATCCCGGTTTAAATCGTCAACCGGCGTAGTTAAATAGTTTTAAACTATTTACCACGCCAAGAATTGCATTGCAGCCTGCACAGTGTTCACGACGCGACTGAAGAGATCCCGCCAGCGGTAACTAAACGGTGCAGTTCGCCCCGGCACCTTTTTTTTTCTTTTTTTCTTTTTTTTGCGCCCTTCCGCTTCCTCTTTGCTTTGCGCTGCTAAAACTTCCTTCTGCGGGAATTTTTCGCCTGGTACGCAAGGCGGTGGATCGTTGTGTTAGATACAATTCGGCTTTTGATTGGATATATCAGCTCAGTTTCATGTACGTTATGTTGATGTGTTCCGCGTGTGGGAGGACGAAAATTCTCTTTACTGCGTTTTCCGTTCAAGCCGACATGTTCACAACATGCACCAGCGGGCTGCATGTGCGCGTAGATATATCCGCTTCCGCTCTACTCTACTTTACGATACAGGAAATATAGTTTTACTTCTTGCAGTTACTTAGTTCTGGATGGAAACCAATACATTTACCTTATCTTGTTGTTTTCTCTCTCTCTCTGCAGGCATAATGCTGCACCATATACTCAAAATTTTGGGTATAGGAGCATTTTCAATATTATATTTCCTCCCCTCTCAGTTGTACGGGGAATTTATTCAGGGCGCGACCAAACAACTCACAATGTTGCAATGGATTATCTGCTGAGAGATTGTCCATTCGTCCATCCACCATCGTCTCCAAAATATGTCCCGCTGTTCTCTTCGCACAATTCGGTGTCCCCGAGGTACCAAGTTTGATCCGATAGGCTTATTTGTACAGAACTCTTCCCCCGTTTGTTGGCATGCGCAACCGAGCCCGTTAGTTGGGCCAATCCAATGAATTCCTCCTCAAATTCTGGTGGGGTTGCCTTGACACCCTCTCTTAGAATGCTGTGCAGTCTCCCTCGTCTTTGATGCATCCAGATTCCCATATGCGGTCCCGATATTGCTAATTTGTTCAACAGGGGATAATCTTGACCCAAATCGAATATTCCGGATCTCGCTTCCTGTTCCGCACACGTGCCCCATCTCTACATGCAAATGGAGGACAATAGCTGCTTGGGGATCAAGATATAAGAGAGCTGGGGATCACCGGGATGCGCTGTTTCAGCCCTATAGACCATAGGAGGTTTGAACTTGGCTGTCGAGTGGTGAAACACCGCTTTATATGCTACCTGGATGTCACTGATTCTCTAACTCTGGACCGCGTCCTTTTTCCGACATACTCGGAAGAATGCACATTTCCGTTACCGCTTAATTCTCATTTGATTTATTCTATTAAGACTTGGCCCGTCAATCTCAGTTCCATTAACGAAATTGAACTCTAGTTTAATCACTAACCACCTAGGCAAACCCGATGCTTGACCTATGAGCACTAATAATACATTATTATATTGCACAGGACAAACGTCATCTGCAAAGTTTATAGCGCATTTCAAAATCATCTTTTCGTTACTTCCAGTTCATACCAGCCACATAAGGAATGCAAGATCGTTCGAAACTCCCATCTCATATTCGCCAGGATACATTCCATCTGCTGTCGTGTATGACTTGGAATGGTCCTGTTTCAGGTGGTTTGCACAGCTCTGTTGGAGACGTCATTTCTCTCCTCTGTTCGGGCGGTTGCTCGAACGATGGAATTGTAACGTTTGAACGGCGCTGTCGCATTCAGCCTGCCTTATTCTGTATTGCACATATCAATATCAACATGTCTTATGGGTCTCAACTACGCAGATCGTCTAACTCCCAAATTTCCGAGCTGGGTCAGACTTCTTCGGCACCATCCGGAGGGGCTATTCAAAGCCATCTGTATGGAACTAAGGTTTACAACGGTCCCCAGAGAAAATGATAAGATATATGTATTCCCTACAGCTTTGATACCCACACCTTCTTCTCTTGATGATCCAACAGTAAGATGAATTGCACATTGCACACAAGAAAGATACTACATTCAACCTCTCAATCGACCGAAGTGTGGCAGGCTTCTCCAGCCGTCGCGAAATATCTAGGGAAATAGGAACGTTGATTCATTTCACTGTGCTGTTGCTCTTTCTCACTGCCCATTCAACCTTCAATTTCTTACCACACGACCAAGATCAACAAACTCCCGATAATAACCCCTCCTGCCAACCCCAAAAAAAAAAAAAAAAAGCGCAGACAAAACTTTCATGTTTCAATCTCAATGTGTCCTATGGCATCATGCGTCCCATCTCGCACCTAACCATTGAAAGAAAGATAAAATGTGTGCATCGTTTCCTTTGGTCTACCTGAGCATATTACACAGCACCACATCCCACATCGGCACACGACTAAAACGGTCCACTATGGACATTTCAAGGACATTTCTCATCGTCTGGGTTGCTGTTGAAGTCCCTGCTTTTATCATTTTCCGGGGACGAGCTGCTACATGGATGGATGGGAATTTAGAGTTATAGGTGTGCATCGTATATGTTTGTGTTTGTGGATATGCCGACTGTGCTTCTTTTACCTGTCATTTGGACCAGAAATTTGTAGTATCCACCAAGTACGGTGCATCTATAAAGCGACACCATGCCCTTTTGCGACTTTCCAAGTTTCAAAGCCTCCTATTCACGTCTTAGTAGGAAGGGTACGAGTACCGGGCAAAGGCTGTTTGTTATCAAGCAAAATACCCACACCAAATACATATGTGAGCGACTGACTTCCAGTGCCTGTTTCGGCAGCAGGAGTCAGAACTTGTCCAGATAAGAATGTCACTTCTTGACCGCTGGATTGTTCTCAAGCTATTTGGTTATATATATAATATAACATGTGCACATGTTAATATATTTGTGTTCAATGTTGTGCTACTCTCTCCATCTTTCGTGAAAGTGCTGTCCCACCCTTCTTCCTTCGTCATATTAATCCTGCATCTGCGGATGGAAGAAAAACACACTTTTCACTCAGAGAACGCAAAGGTATGCACAATACCCAAAAAGAGTCCGCCTGAGAAGGGAGGAGGACAATATAAAGGACTCCACAACCAGCTCCGACCTTGGGCAGGGCTTTTTAATGTGAATCTGGCGTGATACAAGATTGGAGAGACTCAGAGAAGTCGTATTAAATGGGGTGGTGGGGAGTGAACAGTAGGCGGAGTAACGGTTATCACACGTTGCGCATGAACGGGTAACTGATAACGGTCCCTCCCGCTGAATGAAAGGATGGTGGGGAGAAAGAAGTCAATTGGGAAGACTGAGTGCAAAATAGCCAGTGAGAAAAAGAAAAACGAAAAGATGCATTCTGCGATGGTACCTCTGTAGGTAGTATGAGATGGTTCTTGTGGCACGTGAATCGGGTAATAGGGAGTTAATCGTGTGCTCTTCTCCCAAAGGCATTAAAGGAGACTCAATTGATGCGGGGAGAGAAGCGCGGGGGGTTGGGGTTGGGTGAGATAGACTCTCTCGATCAGAGTCATGAAATATGGTGTGATCTTGTCATCATTGGCGATCATGGGGATAACGAGGTGGGGGTAGGTAGATATAGATCCCTATATATCCATGTGTGCGTGTCACCATGCAGATATCTTTACCCGTCCTTGAGAAAGGTTGATTAGATGGAACACGGCACTGATATGCATGTTAGATGATATGATAGATATGGATCTTAACCCCCAATATGAACTGAGCATCAACGTTTATTCATCATCGCATCCATCTCCAATACGGTAGCCACTTCGAAAATGGTAGAAGCCAATCAATTATAGAGACATGTTCAGGGGACACTGGTTTGAGCACATTGGACATACTCTGCCAGCCTCTGCCCGCTGCCATACTACGCCGCTGGCTATACCTACCTGGACGGCTCCGTCTCACTTCATTTCCCCTCTGCTTCAGCGACACCAATGTTAAAACACTATCGTAAATTAAATCAGATCTTGAAAGCCTGAATACCATCGAACATGTCAAATTTATATATAGAGTGTGTTATTTAAACTGCAATATTCTACAATGGAAAAAGAAAAGAAAGGGAAATTTTGGCTGGCATGGTTGAGGAGAGTCAGTGAATGAAATGAACCGTATGGCCACAGTAACGTATAGCACATAGGTAAGGGGAACATAGAGAGATGGTATATGAGTGTTGATATTAGAGAGATACAGGGTGCTTTAAAAACCGTATCAAGAACACGTTATGTATTTGGGCCCCTACGGCTCCAAATTTCCGAGTTCAGGTCAGCCACCTCACGGAGCCCTTCTCTTTCTTGCAGCGCGCATAAAAGATTGGCAAAATTTATTTATACCAGTATTCAGGCCTGACAAAGTCAGCCATGGTCTTGGGTTCCTCGTAGGCATGGTGGTGTTCATCTAAAAAAAAAAAAAAAAAAAAATAGTATGTCAGTGCCTTCTTGTCTGACGGGTGTCGAAGAACGAGCGGGATAATATCGGCAAATTTGCACAAATATTTCACATTAGGAATGAACCAAGCAGGACAATTGTCCTATATAGTCAAAAATATCCTTGTCGTTCAGAGATTACGTACCATGGTGGGCATGGGGATCCGACTCAGGCCCAATGTACTCCATCTTGACAACGTTGCCGCACTCAGAACAACGTTCAATTGGACGCTTGCGGGATACCTATAATGCATAAATAAAGATATTTAATTGTCAAGATGCAAAACATGCGCAAGGCCAATGTAGTGGTGCATTATATCTCCAATTGACGGGATATCCTTACCGTCAGCCAAATGACAGTATGAGAGTCGGCGGGGAAGCCGGTACAGCCAGCATATTGCTCATCTCCGCCGGACTTGACAATAATCGGGTTATCGAGAGTTCCTATCAAATTCGAACGTCATTTTAGCGCATTGCATAGGCCAACGAATATCCTTCTAACCCCCTTACAACACCAACCCCACTAGCCAATATTGTACGTTTTTGGAGCGGAATATACGAAGGGGAATGGAATCTGCGCACCCAATCTTGACGAATCCAGGGGTCGCATATCGAAAATATCAACTCCGTTCATTTTCCCTAGAAGTTCCAATCTTTCCAAACCAGTTGCTTGTTCGTAATCAGTGGGGATGGTTCCGGCTTTCGCTCCGGGGGGAAGAAGGTCAGTTTCAGTTTCGATATCTACAGTCAAGGAGTCAGAAAACTTGTTTCGAGTGACGGATGCAATGCAATTTCCAAAACAGAGACGTGGTGCGGCAAACTCCATCGTTTTCACAGGAAATTGATAACGCCCTTAAAAGAGGTATTCCGCTTTTTCTCCGGTTGCGACAAGAGAAGTGGAATAAAAATCGAAGATGGAAGTCTTATAGGCTGACCTTGGAAGGACACTAGTTTGCCTACTGGCTCTCCGGGCTTGGGATCCCATCTGGATGGCTTTGCGGCATCACCTAGAAAATCATAAAATTTCGGATTAGCAAACAATTTGAAAATTCACCGTGGTGAAACCGTCATCAAAAGGTTGCCTATGAATCAATTGATCGTCGGGGTACAATGGGGCGACGCAGAGATGAGAGACTGTGAATTGGGCGGGCACGCACGTTGGGCAACAGATGCTGAAAAGGTACGTCTGGCAAGGGCCTTGACAGGGGTGCGCCTGGCGAGGGTGAAGGCGGTTCGTTGAACGAACATTGTTCCGACTCCAATGGCTTGCTAAAGGGTAGTGGTTGTAAGTCACGGACTGGGTTTGTTGTTGTATTATTTGTATATGAGGTTGATATTGAGGTTGAGAGTCGAACCACCAACTGGATCCGGGTTTCGTTAGTCAGCAAGCGGTTTAAAGGTCACATGATACACCTTCCGTGATTGGCCGAGAGCGACTTGCCATAAGAATACTGTTAGGGTTAGCCCTAAGTGACCGTGTTGTATCACAGGGGACCAACTCACCCGCTTATATCAACCCGCAATATACACTGTACCTGGACCCGCAACTCTTCCAGGAACTACGAGTCGGTCTGGTTGCCTCCCGGCATTTGCTACATAATGGAACAAGAACAAGAGACTTCTCCGTATCTCCCAGGGCGTCTACCCACGGATTCCTTTTCTTGGTAGCCTTCATGCGTGTAACCTTTTCCGCAGGAATTGCTAACGTGGCTCACAGCTCACATACCAATGTCACGACAAACGGCCAAATCCGCCGTTTCGATATGCATAAAGAAACGGTGAGACCCCATGGAGTACAGAAGAGGACCGGGAGGAAAGGGGGCTACAAAAATAGACAGGGGGCTGAACACCACACAAAGCCAGGACTATAGGTTGGACAAATGGAGAGAAGGCTCATTTGGTAATAATACACATCTACCGTTCCTTTACCTTTTCATTCTTCGTAGCCTCGTCCGTACTTAGTCCGAAGCAAACGACGGGAAAAACAAGTCATGCCACACGAAGGGCAAAGGTAGTAGGTAAGAGGCGGATACAAGCATCGCACTTTGGATTTCCTTTAGAAACCGCCCCTTCTCTATATTTTATGTACGAAGAGCAAAAGAAATGTGAGAAGAAGAAACGTACGCCCCAGAACTATTGATGAACATTGAGGCGTCGCAGAGAAAAATAATGACAAAACTAGAACCAAAAAAAAAAAAAAAAAAAAAAAAAAAAAAAAAAATGGAACGTCTTGAAAAATAGCAACATAACATCGTCAAGAATCATAGAATCGAAGCACCCCCAATCCGGATTGCCCTCCTAACTTTTTAATGGACCCAGCAATAACCCCAATCCAATAACACAGAATGGGAAGTGAAAGGAGACGGACCAAAGAAGCTGTAAAAGATAGCAACGAGTGTGTTTAGTGAAACAAAAGACTCCCACCCCTCCACACAATATATGATAGCAAAAGTAATAAAAAAGGGTATCATTGTCGCGCAATGCCAAATGCTAACCAATCCCATTTACCCAACAAGTATCATGTATTGAAAAAGTAGGAAGACAAGTAGAGCAGCCGGAGGATAGTCGCAGACTTTGCGGGGCTGAGCAAGATGTATTCAGTTTGTTCGCGCAGACAGACGGATAATTTGCGATGGCCAGGTCCATAACTTGTGATCCGTGTGACTTCTATAGCCTTTGCTACAATGCTGTTTCGGATTCCTAGCCACCCGCAAACATGTCACCGTTTAATTCCTGTCTCTTCTCGGCTTTTGTTTTATTTCGTTATTTTCTTTCTTCCAAGGCCGCAAGAGTCAGGGTTCTCGTCGTCCTCACGTTATATCTCACCAACCCAGAGACGGTTTTACAATCTTTTTTCCCCCTTTCTGTTCAGGTTTTGCAGGGGCGAAACAGATGGAAGACTGACAATTGATATCGAAGTCATTTGGAAGGTCCCATAGAATTTCTTCTGCAGCCACTGCAATAATTAGGGCTGAGAAAAGCAAGCAGGAAATCAACATAATTTCCTCCGGCAAAGAAGGCGTGCACCTTCGAAGTCACACATGTTCACGGGAAGGAAGCCGTGCCTGTATCCTAAAACTTCTCCAAGTGGGCCCAAACACGGGATATTTCTATGACCGCCTGTCTAAAATTCTGTGGCTTTGTCTCGACATGCTGCAGGCGAGAACCCATTTCCAACCTTGTTCGCTATCACACGCCAGCGGTCATTTTCGTACTCATGGATCGCGTTACGCAGCCGTTGCACCTACAAAAAGTGTTAGTCTAATCTATACCCCAGTTTTTTGAAGAATCATTGGTAGTTTCTGAGCGCAAAAAAAGGTAATCATACCGTCTCATCCGTCCAGACTGTCGCCTTGGCCTTTAATTTGGTACAATAGCGAACTTGCAGTGTCCCGCTGGTCCGACCAGGAAAGAAGTCGGCAATTTGCTTCCATGTGAGGTTTTTATTTTCCTTCAGCTCCACGAGCAACGCATCTTCCTCCGGGGTAAATTTCAGCTTAGGCCCTCGCGGTCGGGGCGCGGGATCGGGCATTCCAGGTTGGCCAACCACACTTGGAGGCCCAGAGACCCCCCCCGGTGATGTCAAGTCTGCATCGGAGCGCTGCGCCCCTGCAAGTGTGGCTTGCGAAGGTAATCGATGGTGGTGATGGTGTTGTTGATGATGTAGTGAAGAAGCTGACTGGTAATCGTGTTGGCTGGGAGGCTGGTGATGCGAAGAGGGGTCCGATTGGGTAGACAAGAGCATGTCAGTAGATTGTGGTTCATCCCCGTGGGATGCGTCCGAGAGCATTGAAAGGCTAATCCCTGTAGTGTGATCGTCACCGGATTCTCCAGGACCGTCGTCGATGCGCGCTCTTTTCGTTCCGTGACGCTTACTCGCATATGATGGTAACTGAAGTGCGCCGGTATTAAAGTGAGGTGGAAGCTGGGGTGCTACCATCTGTGCGGGAAGGAGAACGGGTGGTTGGATGTCGCGCACCGCGTTATGGGATCCCGCAGAGGACAATGCAACAGCACCTGGTTGCCCATGCTGCTGCTGCTGCTGGGGCGTCTGCTGCTGGTGGTGATGGCTCGACTGTTGCTGTTGCGGTTGAAAGGATTGATGATGCTGTCCACCTGATAGGAAGCCAACATCAGGCCTTGCGCCATGATGAAGAGACTGTGGAGAATGTTGGTTTGTGTGGTAAACCAGCTGACTTTGTTGCTCCTGAGCTTTTGACTGCTCTTGTGTCGAGTAATCAATCTGATAATCCCGATACGGATCCGCCAGCGTCACGGTTGTACACCGGCACTGCTAGAGCTCTCAAGCCCTAGCAGGCTGCCGGATGATGCGCAAGTAAATCGTATTGCAAATCAGCGGCATACGCTGTAGTCCCGAAAGCGTTCTGGACTTTTGGATTAACCTTTTTTTTTTTTTTTTTTCGTTTTGCCTTTACGTGAGATAAGATTTCAGCGTGCTTGAGTCGTAAATCGCGCGAAGCTTTCGTGTCTTTTGGGTGTCCTCAAAGTGGAATGACAGTTAAGTAAGGAACGGGGTAGAGGAAAATGTGAGGGCAATGCTGCAGCTCTGGCGAGTAAGTAACAAAAAAATTATCAAAGCACCCCGCCTCGGATGAAGAGCGAGTTTGACGGGTCAAAGGGTAAATGAGTTATTGTTGGATAGTTATGTCAGAGCAGGTGGTCATTTTTGAATATTTTAGGGCTGAGTTCTGGGATTCGCGAAACGAGACTTCTCGAACTTCTTGAAGAAAGAAAGACAAAAACGGTAGTGCATAGTAGTAGTATTATAGTGGTCAGTCGAAATAGACATTTGTAGATCAGGCGGGACTGGGATGAGGGACCAGAAAGGTGGTTGTGCTAAAAAAGGTTTGGCAGCATGTAAAAATAATAATATGGGCTGTTGACAACCTGCATCATAAATTAAATAATGGGACGGCTCTCATGGGCTGGCGCCGGCCACTTGAAGAGAAACACCGTTGTCCGGAATCGCTGCCGTTAGCCCTCTGCTAAAATTGGACTTAGGAATAGACCAAGTTCTAGGCGACAATCTTACACCTGCCCAGGCGCGAAACTCGAGGTGGGATCTGGAAGGGGAATACCATAGATCAAGTCCTGGGGAAATAAGTCTTCCTCAAAATTGCCGGTATAAGGAGGGAGATCCACAGATATCCCTTTCACTATTTCACACATTTCCGAGCTTTCAGGGGGCGGAGATCAGCAAGACAGATAAGGACATACAATAAACAAAAGTGTATGGCATTCAAAGGGCAACCAGAGCACAACTGGATTCCTTAGGAACAAAAAAAAAGAAAAAGAAAAAGAAAAAGGGTAGGGAAAAAGGTTGAGTGAGTGAGGAGTTGGTGAAGAAGACTCCCAGTCACCGATGAAATGCAAGAGGGAGCATGCCGCGAAAGCTTGAGAAACTTTAACAGGTCTCTTGGGGGGGGGGGGGGGGGGGGTTGTGTACGCATTCGTAGTCAAAGATAGAGAAAGGCGACTTCTGGAACCACAAGATGGTGGCCGCAGAGTAGAGGGTGGGTATGCAGTTGGTCCAGGCTAGAAGGACTTTGCTGGGATAGCAGGGGGAAAACAAACATGCTCGACTTCGCGGCTGCGCAACTTCTAAGTCGATTGCCATCTGGGATTGATGATGTGTAAATCCAATGCGCAGGGCTCTGTTTCACTCCTCGGGACCATCCCTCCCATGGCGCTCATCGTTGCCAGGGCTTCTTCGCGGTTGGATGAGAAATAGCAAGGACTTGATGCTCATACCCATGCCACTTGGTCATGAAGTTAGGCGTGCAGGTGGCTCCGTTGCATGCTCCCTGATCATCTTAATTCCTCAAGACTGTAACGCCTAAGAAGTCCCCGCCATCTCCTGAATGACAGAAATTACGGTGGACGTCGCGTCAAAATCCCAAGCTAGACAAGACTAGACCGAAGCATCAAACAAAGCCGTGATCGACAAATAGCAAGCTAATCCCGTCGTGCGCGCTCTGGTTGCTCATCAGTGTTCGTCCTAAACCTTCTGTTCCCCACACTTAATTTATTTCCTGATCACACCACGTATCCACACGACGTCCTAAAACTTAATCGTAGTATTGTCTAGTTAACCTTGAACTTCGGCGCGGAGCAATGGCGTCAATCGGGATTTGCCAAAAAGAGACGTTACATATATCAAAAACTGAAGGATTTCTGGAGGCTGAAATTGACATTGCTTGAGCCCTGGCTTCAATAGTGCATCCATTTGTGATTATTGATGCGACTCCTTGCTAAATTTAGGTTTAAGCCGGCGGGAGTTAATTTCTTCATGACCGGGGGTCAAAAAGCAAAAGTAGTAATAGTATCGTGGGTGGGCAGTGAAGACCGCCAAATCCCAGAGCAGCCGGTAATCTCTAATCGCACGATTACGATGTTGACGTTACAAGCGACCTCGCAGTTCTGGGCAATGATTCTGGTCACTGTGCCTTGTATCACAACTTGGCCCGGCGTGGAATTGTGCCTCTTTGTGGTTTTACCATAGGTAACTAAAGTTCGGTATTCGACACGATACCTAGGTCGTAGCGATGCGGTGTATCATCCGGATGTAATGCGCGAGGGGGAGAAACTTGGAGACCGGAATTGGTACGCCTTCAATTCGGGCTCTCAATCAAGGAAGAAGACTTAAAATGGGGTGTGCAATTATATGCAATTGTGTTACAGACAGCAAGATTCAAGGTCAAGGAGAGATCCTTGGTGGGACTAAACCGTTGTTGAAACACGCCTCAGAAAACTAACCTCGGAGCTAAACAATTTGAGATTGATGATGTTCAAGCCTCAACAAGTCAACACCGGAGGCGTAAGAAACGTGGGAGAAAGACCCGAGGCAGCGCGATTGGATGTGAGAAGAATCTCTCACTCATCTACAATGAACATGAGGTCAGCCACAGGAACTCTCCACTTGGAAGTTGGAGATGAGGGCAAACTCATCCATACGCAGACTAACATTGAGGTGCAATTGATCCCTGCTAAGCGGAATTGGATGATGGGATAGCGTGGACATGTACGGACATGCTTTTTCAGCAAGTATCCTATCAATATGGGACACAAAGTGCTGCATCCATGAGAGATGATCCCAGAACTGCGATTGATATCTATCTCGGATGTGTCCCTGCACCTGATGAGTGTTGGAGATCTTGACTCAAAACCAGTTAGTTCACTTCAAAGCACACTGCAAATATTTCAAGCATTCATTATTATCCTCTTCATTAACTAGTGGCAGACAGTGCACATTCAAAAAAAAAAAAAATAAAATAAAATATATAAAAATAAAAATAATATATATATATAAAGGAATAAAATACACATTCTTTTTTGAATATTTTTGAACATTACGTCTAGAGCAAGATCTTCAACAACACATCAAATCCGAATTCGAGTAACTGTCTTGGAAGGTAATCACTGAAACAGCCATACCATTTCATATTCGACCCACTATTAACCAATGCGACGTATGATAAATACACGCCAATGCATGCTAGAAATGGAATAAAGACCAATAGGCGCATCTAAGCAACATGCGAGACGACCAAGAGCTGCCAAGGGAGTTGGGTGGTAACAACAAGCGCACTGGGATTTCTTGTCGGTTGCCTTTAATAATGCCAGACCTAAGTATCTCAGACAATTCTGACAGAAATCGATAAGCATTCACCTTTCTGGGCTAAAACTCCAAATATGGGAGATAACTTGTCCTTCACGAATAATTATCGTCACGACGGTCGCCCTCCTTACAGATTTTGTATGGCTGGCTCTGCACGCTCTCAGTGTCAGGGCACGACGTCTCCGTTAGAAAACGCGAGTGCAGAACGTCGCTTGAACAAGAAATAAATACTGGGCAATGCGGTTGAAGGTCATTCGGGAGCTTGTCCTATCAAGGGCAATCCCCACTTATCCGAAGATGGAGATAACGAGCCATCCTACTGCACAAGGGTAGTCTCCCACCGGCTCGAACCTTTGTGTCGCTTAAAATGGTTTTTTGCCTGATATGCCTGTTCCTGCGTATCTATAGAATGGGTGATATAAGACAGATTGTGATGATCTTGTATTGCCGGCAAAGTCCTGACGGGAAAATTCCAAGAAAATAGTTTATTACCAGCTTCGCCTAATATCGTTCTGACAGATTGGAGAGATGCATAGTCCGATCTTGCATGATACGTCGTCAATGCTGGTGCAATTAGTGAAATGGTTCCACAAACGAAATCACTTTTCTTCTCTTCCTTCTTCCAAAGGCTTCTCCGGAACAACGGAACAACTCATATCGTTTCTGCGCGGGTACGAAGCACCTATCTCCATGGGAAGTGCAACTGGGTCATGTAAGAGGAAAATTTGCACGAACCGCTAAGTGAGCACAACTCGGTCTGCGGCATCTCGCTATAAACTACCCAGACTTGATTTCAAAAAAAAAAAAAAAAAGGTCATAGGGGAAATATTACGGTTTGCAGGGAAGAGGCTGGGTTCGCGAATTCCCCATTCTCGGGAGCACATCGGTTAGCGTCTTCTATGGGCAACCATGCCTCACGAAGAGGCATTCGTGGATGACTTGATATTTTGATAAGAGAACTCGAAAGGGACAGCGAGAGTTTCCCATATCCCATCATTCTGAAAGCTGTATGGGAGGGAGAGATACCAGGATTCCCCATAGATATTAAAGCTTGGTCAATTAAATGGAACGTCAACTCTGGAAGGTTAAAAAAAAGATCGATACCTTCCTTGCTTGATCCACGGATATATCATTCGATCATTGCGTTTGGACGATGGTCGATCTCTCAACAAAAGAGCTGATTTGGCCGAGATCTTCTTCCTTTTTATATTTGTTTTGATTTTTTCTCAAATCTAGATGAATAATGATGCCCCCATCACAGGTTGTTTTCTACCTCAATATCGACAGGGGTTAACGAGTTTTAACTCCTTTAGGGGCAATCCTGGCCTCCCATCAGACGCCAAACCCGGATGGCTCTAAAGGGCAAGCCATGCTGCTGTGCCATGTCTGTTATAATTCAACATGGGCTTGTCAAAATGGGGAAGAAAATCTCACTGTTCAAAAGTATCACCCACAAACAGAGCTACATAGAAGAGAATTGATACTTGATATAGCATCACAACTTATCACAACATTTTAGACTCCGAAAGATGAAAATCGCCAACAGCCGGCCGCCTCGCCCTTTATCCTGTTGCCTTCCAAAAGGAACCGATATCCAAAATTATAGGTACGTAACTTCGACTATATCATTTGGTCAACCACTGATCAACTTTTGCCATACGTTTAAGATTTCTCTCCGTCTCATATCCTAGTCTCCCCTGCAGGACGGTGGAACCTATTCCCGACATGAGAGGGCGAGTTACACCCAGCTGTCGGATATTTTATCACTTATTGTAGGACCCTTTACTACCAGGACAGGTAATTTTGCTCGGTATGGATGCGCAGAGCAGTAAAAAAAAGACTTGCCTTTAAGACTTTTACGAGAGGATTATGGTGTGAGGGAGGGTGAAATAAGGAGTGCGCTCGTTGAAGCGTGTTGATCCATCATCCCTGACAATGTTTTCAGCCACCCCAACAGCTAATGCCAACATCTCGAGGCCATTATTCATAATGAGCTGAGCCAGGCGACCACAGCCACAGTGTCAAAATCCAAACGAAATCTTGTTTTCAACTTTGAGGTCCTAATGACGTATATCCACATATTTTCCCCGCTATGCAGGAAATCCAAAAGCACACTTACATCCCTCCACACAAGCTGCAGAAGAAAGCTTCTGCACCAACAATTGTACGCAATGAATATACCTGTCTCTGACTGGAAGGATTTATTTCCGCCTCGCTATGGAAATGAGAACTAGTTCCAACCTACTTTCCATTCATGTGAACAGGTTCTGACCAGGATCTACATTCAAAGCACAATATGCACCAACTGTTGTTAATCGCAGGAAGAAAAAAAAAAAAAAAAAAGCCCAGATGGGAGGTAGGTAGCTAATTAAAACATTCGTCCAAGCATATCATCATAATACCGGATGAAAATCCAGCAGGGCGACATTGTTAATTATACTTTAGGGTCGAGTGTTTGTTTGGTCAATTTTCTTCTTGGGCTATCCATTGGTTGTAATGTGCCCGAAGCCAGTTAAAGCTGACAGAGGTCTTGTTCCAGAATGCTCGTTGGATTGAAGGCGAAATGCATTGAAAGTCTGAGGCATCGTCGTCGAAGCGTTTCACATTGCGAATAGCCCGATCTTTCGACGCGCTCCCGTGCAGGGAAGGGTCCAGAAAAGGGCATCCCATCAAATGATAGGCAGCAGCAACAGAAAGCAAATTATGAGAGTATGCTGCGGAATATGAAGAGATGGTGGTGGCTTTGATATTTGCTCATGCCTCTCTAGCTATTTACATTGATCTAACAGATATTTTCACATTTTCTAGTCTCTGAATTGCACAAACAAGTAGCTCACTATATTTTCCAGCTGACAGGCTGAGAACCATAACAAGTCTAATTGACTTCCTTGCAAATGAATAATATATATATTTATAGCACATCGTCACCTTGGCTCATCCAAATATTAGCCAACCTTAACATATGAGCCCATCCCCAGACACCAATAATACTTCATAACAATGCAAACGACGCAGGGACAATCGGCGCATGTTGCTGGGATATGTATGTCCATCTGTACCTTCGGCCCGAAGCTCCCTCGATCAGAATGTTTTCAGCAATATCTCGAAACAACCGGGCAAAGAGAGGGACGTTCACATCAATTTGTCAGAAATGATAGGAGCTATGCCAAATGATAATGGCTTGGGCTTCGATGCGAATATCCCGACTCAACCATGCGTCAACTTTTACTGAAGGACATTTTTCTGTTTCTCATACGAAAAGGTGTTGTAGGATGTACTGTTCGTACTTGATTGGATTGTTCTAGTTTTAGCGGAAAAAGGATAGATATGGGACTAATTACTTGATGCTGCAGCCTACCTTTATGTTATGTTGGAGGTTGATAATATATATTTATGCGTACTGAACTGGGATACTAACAAGAATAATAGTCTGTCTATACTTTGATCGCTTTTAAGGGATTATATGCGAGTCACGCTGAGACCAATGTTTTTCCCTATATATGTGAGTTTAGCTTGCTCGCGGTAGAAAGGCCACGATGAGAAGGCAGGAAGTTTTGAGCTACCCTGATTCTCAATATCCATTTGCCAGGTTTACTACTAAATAACTAATAAAATAGTATTGCTTTTTATTAAGACAACCAATGCAAGCTGTTGGGTTCCTGGTACAGTACAACATGTTCATTCAGGGTAGAATATAAAAAGCAAATGCAATAGTAACAGAGTTAAAATTGGAAACGAAAACATAATATAAACCGAATATAAAATGAAAAGAACACAGACCACCCTCTCTCTCAATCCAAAATTCCTGGAAAGTGAAAATTAAAAAAAAAAAAATAGAAAATAAAAAGAGAGAGTATGACTGAGTATGATCATGCAAAGTTATCGACCCTATCAACCCAGATATCTTCTAACTCTGCGAAATTTTGGAAATGTAGCGGGCGGTGTTGGTCATCGTAGAAACGCTACAGGAGGGAGGCAACATATTAGTAACCACCTCGAAATGGTTGCACAGACTCGCAAAGAGGACAAGCTTACCAAAGGGGTATCAATCTTCACATATACCGGTCGTTTTTCCACATTGCTAAATGAGCTTCCCATAAAACTATAGTTCCAGACGTTATTCTCCGGAACTAAAAAGTAGCCCCGTATTTTATCACTAAGCAAGAGTTGACACTTTTCTCCCATGCTAGTCGAGAAACCTTGAGGTTGATCGGAAGAAGTATCCTTGTTTTCGGCTCCCCATTTATATCCCTGGGGGGTTAGGGCCCATGCGCTCAACGACACCGAACCCGGAGTGAACGATACAGTCATCGTCACAGTCTTTTTATCCCAGGAGGAATGCGCATTCATGAGGCGCGCATGCTGTGTAACATCCATCGCCGTCATATATGACGGCTCGTTTCCAGAGAGTGTGTGAATGATACCAAGAGGTTCCAGCGAATTGAGATACTCATGTTGCGGGAGTTGATGTGACAGCTGTATATCGCGGGTATTTCCAACTTGTGGGATCATCACGATCGTCCGTATCTCCTTCACTTGGTCGTTGTCAGGCGGCGAGGCACCGTACAGATATCCAGCAACCTGTACTCGCAGATCCGCGATAGTGATGAATCGCTTCAAAACATTCTTTGGCATGATATATGTATAGTGGCCCTCCTGTATATCATCAGAAGAAATATAGATGTTGTTGGCTCGGGTTCGAAGATTTGAGGTGGCAATAGCACGAGTACGCCATTCGGTCTTGGACGCAAATGCTTGTTGCTCGTACTGGGAAGTTGTCGTAACAACGATTTCTTCTCCTCGGACATTTTGGGTTTTGGTTGTGACAGCGGTGAGCTGCTTTTGTTCATCTTGTTGCTTCTCAATTTCGGCAGCCTGCTGACGCTGCATGGATGGCGCACTAATTTCCATACCAAGAATAATGTCCCGAACTTCGCTGCTAGTCAGACTCTGAGTGTTGACATTATTCTTCTTGCCATAGTCGTTCAGAATCAAGTCACGAAGCTGTACTTCGACCTTGATCCAGTCCTCGTCGGACAGCGTTGGCCAGATATGGTGCTCTTCAGTAATAACTGTCTTATCAGGTCGCAGTAGAATCTTAGTTTTGTCAGAGTTGACATGCAAAGCTCTGAGGATAAGAATAAGGCGGGAGAAGGCTGTGTACGACGAGATAGTCTTCAGCCACTCATCGTAGAGGTTGAAAAGCACCATCTGTGGCTCTGTCGCTCGGAGGATCATGTCAGCAAGCTTCTCAACCTTCATTGCAGCCTGGAAAGGTAGCTGAAGCTCAGATGCTCTGATAGATATGTTGGGGAAATCGAGAAGGTGCACTTCGAGAGGATCAAGGAGACCCTTCCTGGTAACTATCAGTTGCTTCGGCTGTTCTTCGACTGGCAAAGATCTGATAAGAGCTGCAACTTCTTCCGCCGTTTTCCACTTAGCTAATTGGCCCAGACGTTTTTGGCCAGCCCAGACACTCGTGTGGATAATTTTCAGGAACAGCTGACCCGTGCGCGGGTTGAATATGAAAATGGCACCGTTGATTGGCTTTGTCGTCAAATTACCCTCGAATGTTTTATGGATTGTCACACGGTAGACGTTGGTGTCATCAATGAAAAGTTGGATTTGGTTACTAAAAAGTTCAGAGTAATTCTGGGAATTCAAGAATTCTTGGTTGCTTTCCGACGCATAGAGTTGGAGACCCTTCCGGATACGTTCCCTTAGGACATATAAAGCAGGGTTTGCCTTCATGATCTTTGCCATAGCTTGTTGCACCAGGGCCTTCAACCCAGGGAAATACTGACCATAGGCGGAATAAAGGTTGTAAGCCAAGTCGATGCCGATCATAAGTCCAGTTGCGGATGGATATATGCTCATGCTATCTGTAGTGTAATCGAGATACTTGGCACGAACATATCTCTCGATGTCATGAGAATCGTAGTCACCATACCGTAACTGTACATCCAACCAAAATTTGTTTGTCGTAGTCGGTTCGATGACGTCCTTGGTATCGAACAGAAGAGAGGGCCTCGTAACATTCCACTTATGGGTAGCAAATAGAAGGATATCCGCACATGAGCTGTTCATCTTATACGATTTCCTAGGGTGGATGGTCTCCTTTTGCACTGTTTCAATACCCAACTGCTCCAATTCCTGGTCAAACACTTGACAGAGATCCATCACAACAGACTCATGAATCTTTTGCCACAAATGAGCGCGGAAAATCTGAATAAGTGAAATCTTTAAGGTTGGGATCTTGCCGTGTAAGAATATTCCAGTCAGGTCTAGTTGAACCTGGAAGCCAACGTAGACGTTCGCACGATTAATTGTTGGGGACCACCACAAAGTAAATCGACGGTTAGGAATCTGATTTAAACCGGACCTCTGGGCGTTCGTCAACTTCTTGAACTTCATGGATTCTTCGAAACCACTGTTGTGCAGCACAAGAAAATCATGACGCAGGTAGAGTTGGTCTTGATCGACTCGGAAACCAGCCCACTCAGTCGTCTCAGTTTCAAGCTGAATATCCTTGATTTTGAAACCGTCAGCTTGGGAAATTGGACGTTCAACTCCTCTCTCTCGTGCGAGGATGCTTGGAATTTCTGCCACATTTCCAGAGATATGGGCAAATTCTTGGGCTTTGTGCTGCGTACGGGTCGGATTATCCGTCATACGCCGCTTCGTCGAAACACTGAAACCCAAAGAGCGCGCCAACGTTACGACATCCCAGATAAGAGTGGAGTTTGAGTCTTCAGTCTGGCTGAAGCCGAACGCGTTTTCCGAATCAACGTACCAACCACTACTGTCGATCAGCCCTGCGAGGAGGGCAAGTCGGACGGGTCGTGAGTTCTTCATGTATACCGAAGGGATACGTTTCTTGTCAGATCCAGAGCCATTCGTGCCACAAGTATGTAGTCCCAACGCTTCGAGCGCCAGCAGGAGCGATTCTACACTGGTAGTGCCATCAGGTCGGCCAACGATATCTTCAAGGATTTGGTCCTCCTCGCCAGGACACAGCTCTCCGTACGTTCGACAACCAGTTCGCAGGTAATGAATCCGTCGACGTTTAGGGAAATCGTCGACGTTACTGACATTCTTCTTCTCATCGAGATCCTCGATTTCCTCGTCCTCACTATCTATATCAAATAAGTCAAGGTCAGCTTCCTCTTCCAATAATACTTGGCTAGAGTTGGATACTTCAATCCCTGAGTCAGGGATGACTGAAAAGTTTGAGCTCTCTGATGGAAGGTTCGCGTCCGTGATGGAAGTTGAGATGCTCGACTTAGGTTGAGAAGCGACAGAAGTAGAAACAGACGTAGATCTGGGAAGAAGATTCATGGTAGCCGCCGCTGACGATTCGGATAGAGGATGACGTTCACGGGAGTACAGGGAGGTTACAGTGTTGGAAGAGGGTCCACCGGTTGTGGCCGGGTAGGACGATGATCTAGCGCCTCCAGGCTGTGTGATGCTCTTGGCGGCAATCCGTTGCTTGCGGATAATCTGTCGCGCTTGACGACGGAGCGGTAGTTGGTTGCCGTTTTTCATAGCTGCTAGAGATGGTCGGTTGGCGACATGTGAGACAAGTTGCAGGTCCAACTCGGCAGCATGGTCAGCGATGAACTCCCGGATTTCTTCTTCGTGATTGGTATATATTGAGGATTTCGTGCCACTTCTATCACCTAGCCAGAGTCCAAGAAAATATGGATCTATGGGCACGGCTTTGCCGTTCAATTCGTAGCCAGGACTTGTAAAAAGTCGATACAGTTTCCTTTCATTAGGGTCAAGAGAAGCAAACTCAGCCGCAGTAATCTCCACAGTATCAAAAAGCTCTATTGCTGAAACTTCGGGCAGATCCTCTCCATCGTCCGTGGCGTCTTCTTGCAACGATGGGAGGACATCGTATACTTTGTCCACTCCGTCTCTTTTCTCTCGATGAAGGACGAGAATATGGTTTGGAGTGACCACGAGATCTTCTTTGCCCCCGTCCATTTTGATACGATAGAGACGGTCCCGTCCACCAACAATGTTAAAAGCGCGACGAGGCCCACCATCAGGACCGAGCAGAAGGTCTCCCTCTCTCACATTTTCGACCTCGACCTTGGTACCATCGTATCGCAGTAACAGAGTCCCCTTGGCAAGGCAGGCTCTTTCCCAGAACAGGCCTTCCCATGAAGGAAACGCTGTGGCTTTGAACAATGTGTGTTCCAGAATTGTTTCAACACCCCCGAGAGCTTGGATAACATCGGTTCGATAGGCATTAAGATTCCACAGTTTCCCATCATGTCTTTGACTGGTCCACCAGAAAGGATTGCTCTTCATCAATTGATATGTTTTGAATTCAGTGCGCGTACGGAAACCTTTGTCAAAGCTAAGTGTGCTTCGGTCTTTTTGGAAGAGAGTGTTGATACGTGGAAGACCGCGATCCCAGCTATCTTCCAAATCTTCAAGAGTTAATCGACGATTTTGTTGATTTGCCTCTTGTCGTTTCTGAGAATATTCCATCCACACGCGTTGGGAGTCTGTAAATTCTGCCTCCCAAGGTATAATGTACCTGAAGATGTTGGGGATCAAGGTCTCCTCATCATGGGACATGCCAGCTCGGTAATGGGTGACACCGGTATCAGTTTGCTTCGACCATCGTTTATCGCTCGTTGGAATAAGTATATGAGAACCAGAAATCATTCCTAAACCTCCTAATTCCTTGGGTGTATAGAACACAGCAGGGGGGAAACGGGACGGCATTTTAGAGTTCAACCCTATCTTAACTCTTGTTTGGATTTTGGTTTCGCATTTAACAATAGTATCCAAGAGGTTGACGGTAGATACAGCTGCTTCCCGATAATATGTGAACAGAGCGATCAGACTCGTATTCCACTTATTAGCAATTTTGGTAAATGTAGTCGAGCCCGAGGACATCAGAATCTGCCTTATCCGATTGTTGAACTTCTGGATATCTTCTTCCGTAACCTGTAAAAATGCATACGCCGTTCGTTCCTTGGTCGTGTTATCCGCTAATGACCAAACGCTGTCCTTGACTGGGAACTCGTCATTCTGATTGCGGATTTTCGGCAAAATGCGAACCTCAAACCCGCACATTGAGAATAACAGATTTGGATTGTCTTTGCTGTACACACTGGCAAAGGTGTCATCCCACTCGATAGTGGTGATGGATCTTGGAAGGCGATTCTTCAGATCCCAGAAGACGGCACGACCCAGGTTAACGTCATGTCTCATCAGCCGCATTCTTGAATCTCTTGGCCAACACTTTTTGTTTTTATACCCGATCACGTTTTCGAAATTCGGATCCGGCTGCTCAGTCAAAAACCTTTGGATAAGATCTCGTGATTCATCGGCGGAGAATCTCAAAAAAACCCAAATTTTGTCAATATATCTTGTGTATAGGCGGATAGGGTGCCTTGTTTCAGTTGCACGATCTCTGAACTGCAAGAAATCATTCGGACTCTGGGGAGGACCTGCAATTTCACTTGCTCGTTGCAGGCCCAGCAGGAGTAAGTCGATAACGAGACCATAATATTGGAAAACAAAGCCAGAGAACTGGAGGCCACGAATCATGCCGTAGCTGTTTGTATGATTCATGTCCTTGTAATTGAGCTGAACGTTATTTTTCGAGGTGATGTAATCAGCCAAGTTATGGTCCATGATCAGACGCAGGAGTCGATTGAGAAGGGTAAGATCGATCTTTTCATACACTTTGGATAGTTCTGTTTCGATCATAACATTACATTCTCCATCGGCAGTGTTCCAAACATTGGAGAGGTTGTTGATGCCTTGGGCCCATTTGTAAGTCAGGAGAGGAGGTACTTCAGAATCTGATGGTTTGATCCAGGCAGGGAAAAGATGGCGTTGATCGGCTTGATACCAGAGGTATTGATCCAGGTACGCATCGGTGATTTTCTCAATGGGCTCAATGTCGTACACCGGATTTATATTGGAATAGTTGTCATTCATATCAATACCAACTTCCTTGAACGCTCGCTGCGTGAGAAGGAATCGCTTAATTCTCGCTAGTGTTGTGCCTGGAGAATCGTAAGCTTGTTCAATAAGCGCAAGTTCCTCTCGTTGGCTTTGATTCAAGCGACCTTTGACAGAGTAAGCCTCACGCAAACGTTCTAGAGCCAGAATCAAGACTTTCGTATCATGCTTGTAGGATACGCTCGGGAAAGGAATAGGGGAGAATTTGCGAGACTCCAACCAATGGACAGTGGTCGTATAAATGGCGACTGCTTCTTCAGAAGAGACATAGGGCCCATCTTTCAGGTAGTTGTGTTGCCTCTCTTGCTCAGCCTTGAGCCAGAGTCTGGTAAGTCGTCCGAGATTTTTCTTAGCCACAGTCTTATCAACCGTTGCACCGCGCCGAATTCGCTCTCGATTGTAATGGGCAACAGAAATCCACCAATCCGCCTTGCTCTTAACATATCTAAGAATGATATTCTCAATGGGAGCCGGAAGGCCCGGAACTTTCCAGGGTATGTTACTCTTCCAGCATCTCCACGCTTCCGAAAGATGTTGAAGAACAGTATTAACTTTATTTTGTTTAATACCTTCGGGCATCATATCCATAAGATCCGCCATAACTGACGCGCGGAGTTCTAGATCGAAGTGCGATTCGACACGTTGCTTCGTAACAGTTTTCGCGACACCCTTGCTATGGCGACCTTCAAATTGACGAGATAGCAAATTCCCAAGCCAGCGTTCAAGAAGCGGAATAATTCCCCTTAGGAAGAAAAGCCAAACCCTCCAGGCGGGTGCCCAGAATCCACATCCAGGACCCTTTCCAACTGGGCCGGAATTGAAGCGATAGTATATGAGATGCTTCAAGTCCTTGCATGATCTGATCTGGTGCATCAACTTGTACTTGTACCTGTACATCCCAGTCAGCTGGCCAACGTGGTTAAAAGCATAGAGGATACCGTCAGCTAGCTGGAATGCATCAATATTTCCCAACCGATATTGAACCTGGGCGTCAACAATCAGCTTTGTTAAGCGAAGAATTTCTCGCATTAGATGGAAAGCATTTCCAAAACGGGATTTTTTTCTCTCCTTGGTCGTCAACGTCTTCACAGGCTTCAAATTAAAGTTATAATCAAGATGTAGATAGGTCAAATTTTTGCGGTGAATCAGCAAATTTAACATGTTAAAGCCTTGTCGACAGACTTGAAGACCGGCCTCTACCCAATCGATTGTTGTTTGCTGGAAGAATTTCGTGCCTTTCAGTGTTCTCAAAAGATTCTGTTTGCTTTGTGCTTTCGGTTTCTTCTTGTGTAACTCGTTCAGAACGTAAGTTTTTAGAAGCTTCTGGTAAGATACTCGAACTTTCACAGGCTGGCCCTGCGGGCAATGCTCCAGATACCACTGCTTCACAAGAGGAACGTCTTGGGCCCGAACCATTTTACCCGAGCGGCGGTCAAATGGATAGGGAGCCCACCAAAGAGCAATTGCAGAAGCGGTTTCACTGGTGTACAATTCCTCATCCGCCAAGAAAGGTTCAGCATTCGCTGGGAGTGTAAATTCATCCTCATCATTGCCAGGCCCGAATATCTGATCTTCGTGGCTAACCGTTATGTTTTTAGGTGCGACAGAGCGAGAGGATATCGGATTAATGACAGGGTCAAAATAAAAGGCTGGGAGGTTAGGATCATCTGATCGAACATATACGATCTGAGGGTGGGAGTACCAAGACAGCTTAACACTGCGAGGTAAAGAATTGTACAGGTATGGGAAAGCAACGCGATATTCGGTTCGGATGGGAGCTCTGAAGATGATACGATCGATCGCGTTGAATTCTCCAAAATCCTCATCATTAGGGTCGACGTCTTTGTACAACGGTTCGAATCTAGGGCCGCCGGGAATTGCGACGTTAAGGGCCTTAGCAGTCAAGAAACTGTTAAGTTCGAACATATGGAAATAATTCTTATCTACTACATCACTGAGCAGCTGACGGCTCAAGCGATACAGTGTTGCCATTTGCGGAAGGGTCAAATTCCACTCCTTATAGCTAGGTCCATTGACATGTGGGGTATCGAGGAGTGGACGGTGATCGTAGAACCATTCAAAGACGGGAGCATCCTCAGATTCATCAAGTTCCATCTGGATGGGTTCCAAAGGCTCCACATCCTCAATGTTTTCTGACCAAGACAGCGGTGGTTCTTCATCGTCAAAGGGTGGAAAACGCATTCTTTTGAAATGCCTCCGGTCACTTTTCTCCCGTCGCATCGTCATCCACATGGTAGCCCATTGCGCGTGAAAGACGGGTTCAATGACTCGGGGAATCTCGTTGACCAACGTCAAGCAGCCATTGACATGGTAAAGGACCTTGACCTCACGAGCAGACTCCCAGGGCATCGGCATATTCTCCAACAACTTCAACACGGCATGCGGCATGAATTTCAACGCCCCCAGGTAGCTTCTTTTGTCGGTGCTGAACTTCTTCTGCGATACGTCTCCTATATCCTTTACAATCTTCCGTAAATGCTCCGGCGGCATATCTGCCTTCTGAGTTTCCACAAACCCGGCCTTTCTCTTCTCCCCAAAACGGTTTCGTTGTGTCCGTAGCCATTCGTTCTTCTTCTGTGCAAACTTCGCGACCAGAGGGTCAGCCGGAGGACGGTATCCGGGAGGTGGGGGAGCAAGAGGAATGGACGGAGGAGATGCAGCTCCCCACCCCGGGGGCGGAGGAGGTGGAAGAGACGCCATGTTGAATAAGGATGGCACTGAATAACAAGCTCGCCTCGCCCCTAGTTGATGAGTACAGGTCTGGTAAACGTCACGATCAGTCTCACCATCAGTTGACCAGATATCTCCAACGTTTGATAAGAGGTCCAAAGGTGAAATAGCAAAGGTCCCGACACGACAGAGAAGAATAGAGAATCTGCTGCGTGGATGCGAAGGTCGTTGGTTGCCTTGTCAATTCATGAAGCAAAAGATAGGTCGCGTTGGAAGAATCCTTTCGGTGGCGGCTCAAGTCCGATTTTCACTAGTCCAAATACGGCCTAGCACCCACTCGCCAAAATCTTTAGCGCGCTTCCCGAATTTGTATTGCAACCCACACAAAATCGAATCGCATAACGAAATATCCGACAACCACAACGACAACGGCGACGCCATCACCCCGAAGCAGAGCTTGTCGACAGCAAAGTTTTGAGGACAGTCACAATGGCCAATACCAGACTTCAATACGTGAGTGGAATTCTGTGGGAAGTTGCTCTATGATGGTGGAATAATGCTAATTTATGTTTTGTCTCCTTAGCGACGACGGAATCCGTATGTGCAATTTCTCCTCCCCGAACCACTGCGAAATGAATCGCTGTGATGCATTAATTTTTGGACATCAATGGTGGTTCTGACAATTTGGATGCATTAGGTACAACACACGGTCAAATAAAGTCCGCATCATCAAGACTCCAGGCGGCAACCTCAGATACCTTCACATCAAGAAGAAAGGAACCGCACCAAAATGTGGTGACTGCGGTATCAAACTCCAAGGCGTGAGTCTCACCTAGTGGGTTATTACATTTATATGTGCGGGATTTTGGTGTATGGATAGAGCTGGGGAGTTATGGAACATTTTTGAACGACATTTCGACCGAGAAACTGAAGAAAACACCTCCGAAGAATATGACGAGGAATTAATGCAGAACGCCAAAAATTTCTCCAGAGTGCTAACGGTTCCTCCGTTGTTAAATATTAGATTCCTGCCCTCCGACCCCGTGAATACTCCCAGGTCTCCCGGCCCAAGAAGTCCGTGTCCCGTGCCTATGGCGGCTCCCGCTGCGCTGGCTGTGTCAAGGACCGTATTGTTCGCGCGTTCCTGATTGAGGAACAAAAGATCGTCAAGAAGGTGCTGAAAGAATCGCAAGAGAAGACTGCTGCTGCATCGAAGAAGCGTTAAAAGAAACTGGGATGTTTGATGTGGATGTTGTTCGATTGTTCTGGAGTTCTGCGGGACGAGAATGGCGGGAAACTACGACATATGGAAGCGTCAGTCATGGCGGTGCATTATTCTGTTTCTCTTATTTTCTTTTTGCGCCAATGATGTGATCGTATTCCAGTCAACAATGGGTTAAATTCTCTTTGGTTTGGGATTGCCCCAGGTTTTCGCTGAGATAGAAAACTAGGCGGATTTTCAATCCATGAAATATACACTCAAAAGATGAATTTAACGTCATTTTCTAATTTGTTTCAATTTCTTCTACGAGTTCTACATATTTCTTGAGGCTCAGGCCCTCTAAACTGGCTTGCAGAATAATTGTCCGGCTAGCTTCACCTTTTTCTTGGAGCAATGAAGAGCACTACAGTGGTGCTGTAGTCCTCTGAGTTCATCCAAGACAACTCCTATTGTTAAAACATAAACTAAGGCACTGTGATTCCACCAAAGCCGTGCCTGGTTCCCGGCACCGCTAGATAAATTTCCAGCCGGAAAATAACCCATCCTAGATGAAGTTCTTTTATTTTCATCACTTCTTAATGGCACAGACGACAACACCGATGCTGTGTAATATTTCACGGACCCCTCTCCTGTGGCAGAATTTTGTGAGTATGTCGCCACATCTAGCCTCAACAAGAGACAACAGCTCCATTGGGACTTCGTTTGATTGGGTTTTATGAAGGTGTGCAATGTCTGATAGTTGTCTACAACAGGGATTTACCCCAGGGTTTTGGGTCACAACTTTAGGGATCCTTGTGCGAAGCAGATGCTTTGCTAATAACTATCGCGTAGGTATCATCTGCAGGGCATCCAGGCGCGAATAGTGCATTACAACGAACGGCATATCTGATAGTCGGAGACATTAACCCCACTTAGCGTCCAAAACATAGATGCCATTCTACAGCCGCCACCATTTCCTTTTGAAGGATTGTGACAGGCGAATGGATTATGTGGTCTCGGCCTCTACGGGACGAAGCCTACATATGGCATGCTGCTTTTCAGGGATCGCATCTTGAAAGATCATGCAAGCAATATTTGAGAGCATCTGCGCCAAGGGCTTATTGAGTTTGAAAATGCAGGCTATGTTTAAACTGCTAAATGGCTAAGAGGCTGTTTCTAGTCGGGAAAATGATGCCGTTGTAATTCAGAATTGAATCAATAATCGTGGCTCCACTTCTCCTCCCCACACCGTACCGAGGAAATATATGAAACTAGGTGGTCAAATTAAGAGATTGACATGGAAGGAAACCTTTTAGTTAATATTCCTATTCCCGCACTTGCATTTCCCATACGGTTAGCAACAGCAATTTCAGTATGCATATATCATTCAATCTTACAGCGCTGTACCAACGGCAATAATGAATGGCAATTGACAGACAATTTAATCGCTTAACCGAATAGAAGAATAAGATTTTTCCCCTTGACAAATTGGTCCTAAGGAACCTCAGCATGGGAAGGTTCTCCTCTAATCTACAGGCAATTCCGTGTCTTTAACTCTTTGATCAATAATTTAATTACTCTGACGAAGGGTCTTGAATACAGATGATGAGGGCCAGATGAGGATCACATAAAGTCTTCACTCTTCAGCCCGGCTAGCATTGGGCATTGAGCAGATGCACGCTGTAGACACCTCCAGCCAAATCACTCAGATATGCATGCATTATTAAGGAGATTCATTCTGCTCAGGCAGAGCGTTTATATCAATTTTTCCACGTCAGGCATTGTATTTCCGGCACCCTCTGCATGAAAAGACCATCAAGCCCCATCACAAAGCGGGGTAAGCAAAACACTAGCCAATTATGGAAGACACCAGGAAGATCTGAGGCTAGGACTTCTTCACACCAGTCGTAAGTTGAAGAAACGCTTATCATATACATGTATGATGATGTATCCCAGCTACGGAGCAACGGTTCGTGACACTGATTGCTGCAAGCGCTGGCTGCATGGCATGAATTCTCACCAGGAAACGTGAGATGCAATCTGGCCCGGTTCCATATAATATGCATCCTTGAAGGGATGATGATCAGCACACACACTGAGACATGAAGCGAAGATCTCGAAGATGCGAAAAAAAAAAAAGAAAAAAGAAAAAGAAAAAAAAAAAAAAATCGGGTTGATTAATGGCTACGTTCCAACAATCGTGACCTGAGTGGTATCGAAAGCTTGCCTTGCGAGATCTGCCCGTACAACAGCAAGAGAGGAGAAGCGTCTGTTCAGATCGACGCAGGGTCGACCCCATTCTTCGCTTAGCAGTGGAGTTCATCGTCATTACGCCAATGACCATCGTATATAGGCGCCAGAAGGACAAAGACCCCCAGATGATGATAAATTTAACCCGCCCACCCCATAATTTCTGAAGTCCGAAAGCGGTGAGGGATTATCGAACTTGCATACAATGTGCGCGAATCCGTTGCGAAGCAGTGATGATCAGTCGATATTTCGCGATTCTGGAGACCTTTCCCTGTCGGTCATTCTCCTCATTTCCATGGAAACGTTGGTCTAGCCAGCGGGATCCCCAACACGGCATGCATTTGTAATTACTCTTTGCCACCGAGAAGTTGTGGTGCTTTATCTTGAGCAGTCACTGTTCCCGCACCACCAGATTAATGACAACTTATCATTTCTCACTGTAGGAGAGGCAATATTTCAGATATCCATATACAACATGAGAGAACTCAGAGCCAAAATAGTTTGCCTAGCAACTGTGCCCGCTGATCTGACCGGGTGAAATAGAGAGTCCTCGAATTAAATGCTGATGGATAATCTGAGGCAGTGGTAACACCTGCGCTATGCGCATTAACTATCTCGCTCCACACTGTTGAAAGAAGAAGAAATGCCTTCAGAGACGAGTTCATTGAAATGATGACTTCAGCAAAATCGTTATCCATTGGATAAATATTTTTCGGAAACAATACATCTGACAAGTATGTCATACTCTTGGATCCAATCCACACTCTGAACAACTTATATGCTGCTAATTATCTAGGCTCCCTTCAAACTACTTCTTCATTTTCTAATTGATTATTTGCAATAGTTGCTATGCAATGCACTGAAAAAGGAAAAAAAATATATATATATATATAATATAATAAAATATCGGCACAGGTTCAATTATTTTTGCTTTTATCCGCGCTAGCAGCATTCCCAACCCGGTGGATAGCCTGAGGAAGGAAAAAGAAAAGGAAAAAAAAAAAAAAAAAGAAAAAGAGCGCCACAGCTTCCAAAATCACACTTTGTCGAGGACGAATTTCGGCAAATACTGCCCCTTCAGCTAGCGAGGTTGTTATAACTTTTGGATCATGATTCAATTCATGGAGACCTCTAGTGGAGAGGCGACATCGGTATCCTACCCGAAGCTTCGAACCAGTCGTGTGACAATATTTTCTTTTGCGCCTAACAAGGAGTTAGGCAACGAGAGATCCAACCAAATTTTCCGGGGTAGGATGCGTTCCGTTCCATATATTTCAACAGTTGAGGGATTTTGATGATCAAAATTTTCCTCACCCCTTTCTTTGTTCTAATTGCCGTAAATTTGAGACGACAGAACAATGCGGCGGATCGCAAACCCGTGCCAGTCAGCAAAAAGCATGGTTGCGGGAAGTCTGGAGACGCGCAGGGCTCCGGGGTGGGCACTAGATTTTCTGGAAGATCGACCGTAATCGGATTAAAAACCGTGGTTGGTTAAGGGAAGGAATAATAGCACATACCAAGATGCAAGGGATGTCTTGTTCCACTGGTAACATTGCAGGGCCTAAGATCGAATACCGATCAAAGAGCCACTAATTAGTTAAAAGGGTCAAATGGTACCGAATACGCTTCGCAATGCTTTTTCTTTACAACGTCGAAGCGAAAGTTGACAGCGGCTGGTGTTCGGAGAAGGACGGCAGCTTTCTCACGTATTACAGAATCATCTCACTCAAATTGACGCCTTAGGTGATGCGAGGCGGCTCCGGCATTGGAGGCTTGACCCCAATATTTGGCATTTTAAGAGGATTATAAACCATCGAAGTGAAAACGTTTTTCCTTGAGGAAAATTTGTTTTGGCTTTGAGGGCAGAACCCAACCGAATTTCGCGATTTATGAGTGACATTTTTTACAACTCCCATAAATAGTACATGATTTAAAACTTCCTATCACTCGTGGAATACGGAGAATACAATATACTTCTCACTCCGGAGGAGCTGTGAAAAAAAGAAGTCGCAGACAGGTGGGGCCAGGTGTTCTGTGTTGATATTCTCATTTAACTCGAAACTCTTCCCGTGATCTACTACTGTAGATGGCCCATAAAATTGAAAGCACCTTAAGAAATTCGAATTTCCTTCGCCTCAGTACGAACTAACTTGACGTGGGAGTTGTAGATAAATATTAAATGAATATTAGTTCGCATAAACAACAAAATCCAAAAATGCCCGAATAGAGTTAACATGGAATATGGCCAAGTCCATATGCTCCAGCCAGAAAATAGGATATGCACATCAAATTCGGTTCAGGCATCCATCCCGCCCTTTGTAATGTACACGCTGGAGTCGCACTCCAGAAAACGGGCCGTGTCGATCATCACTCTACATAAATGAACCAAGACTGCAAACTTCGAGCTGCCTGCAAAACATGAGAGCGGGAGAACAATGAATAGACACACCAACCCTGCAATGCATTAGTCATCCAGCTGCTTAAACAAATGGGGGAGGGGTGGGGGTCAACCAAATCTAAGAAGGAAAAAATAGTAAAACGTCAATGTCGAATCGTAACCGTGATCCATATGCCAAAAGGAAACAAGAAAAAGAAGATCAATGTGCATCAGTTCAATCCAGCACGGAAGAGGCACGAATGACAACCTAGGACGATATGATTCGTTCTTTCAACAATTCAACTGATATCGTCAAAATGAGTGCTAAAGTCATTGCCTTGCGAAAATAATGTTGCGGAAAATAGATGATTGTCATGGTAATCGGAGTCTGGATAGATGCCAATCACATGTTCAAGACCAAAGCTATCGGGAGCAAAACCGGTAGTCTGATTGGAGAACATCGGCTGTGAATATTCAAAACTAAACGACGTAATATCACCACCCTGGAGTTGGTAGTTATGGACATCCACAATCTTGTTGGCCACATCTTGTTGTAGAGGCTCCCGTTTAACTCGCCTCATCTTGGCAGATTCCTTGGCAGCCCTGCCGCCTCTCGACCCGGCGCCTCTGGCACCGGATCGTTGGCGCTGGGGAGCAGGAGGTTCTGATTTTGGAGACATTTCGTGAATACTTGGCTTTCGGTACTTCGTAGTTGATTGCACTCCATTCCGGAGACCAGCCCTGCCGCCTCTCGCCCCGGATCGGTGGCCCTGGGGAGCAGGAGGTTCTGATTTTGGAGACATTTCATGAATATCCGGCTTTCGGCACCTCGTAGTCGATTGCGCTCCATCCCGGAGACCAGCTCTGCCGCCTCTCGCCCCGGATATTTGGCGCTGGGGAGCAGGAGGTTCTGATTTTGGAGGCATTTCATGAATACCTGGCTTTCGGTACCTCGTAGTCGATTGCACTCCATCCCGGAGAGCCTCTTTTGTAAGGATCCATGCACTTGTCCTTTTTCTTTTCGCACCATTAAGAGATGAGGTGTTATCCATGCCTTCAAATGCCTATCACAGAATCAGTAAAACACAATGCCAAATTGGCATGCACTATTTGTAAAAGGTATCCTTACTGCATTCATTGAAAGATTATGCCGTATACTATTTTGCCAGCCTTTCAAATCCGAACTTTTAATTTTATTCGTATTTTTTTCGAACCATCGGTAAAGCTCTCTCAGGGCCATCTTATTGTCAGGGGCAGACTGAAGAGCCCGATATATCAATCTGGAGTAAGTATCATTAGCCTTTCCATTCCCAGTTTCGCCATCTGAAGGAATATTGGTTGCGGAAGGCGTTGTTGAATCAGGACTGAGCTGCAAATTATTGGACTCTTCTGATGGACTTGACATCAATGAAGTTTCTGGTGAAAATGCAAAACGAGTGCTCTGGCGGTTTGAAAACATGCGGTCTGTCCACTGATCTGGGCAGTTGGACAATGGAAACTGCGGTCGCGACAGTGACCGCTGGCCATCAGCAAATTGAATAGATGAAATGGAGCCATTTGGATCGTGTGCTGACAGCTCCGGATAAGGTGTCAATTGAGAGAAATCCCAAGAATTGACTGGCGGATGGTGCTGGCTGACGTAGGAACCAGTAAGGAGCGATTCACCCGGGCTGTCCCCATGCCATAAATTATAGTTTCCCGCATCACCCTGGGAGACGTAATTGAGACAATGTGGGTTCACCATGAAACCCTCAGCCAAACCAAATTGCCATGAATCTTGTAGCTGAAATGATGAATTCTGACCTAGCTTTAGATGTTGCGAAAAATTCGGATCGTAGCTCATTAAGTCGTTAGAATTTTGGATCAGGTTAGAACATGATAAAGGGTCAGAGGGATGTCTTGGGGAAACGGTATCGATGAAAGACGGAGACTGTTCCAGGGGAGATGTTCCATACACCAGCTCTGGCTCAGGTGGAAGAGTTAGATTCGGTGGCTGTGGATTTCGTGGTTGAAAATAATAATATTCACTGCTGTCTTTCATTATAGTCAGTGTCTTTAGGTATTGCCAGTTCGACACTTTCATTTGAATGTCTTAGACGGTGATAAAGTCGGCGGAGTCAATAGGTTTCGAGAATGTGTCACTAAGTGAGTATTAAGGGTTGGTCTTCTAGAAACGGGTTTGTGAGACAGCGATATGGAGAGCAACAGCGGCTTTCCGGAATGAGTTGAGGTTGACTGATACACAGTGGGGATATATTAATACCTGCAGGTGCCAACACATAGGGCAGCCTGTCGCTGCAGACAACCTATACAAATAAGCTTGCAAAAGGCAAACAAAGAATAAGATATGATAAATAAGAACAAGATCTTTCCACCATTGCAATTAATACTTTGCTGGATAATCAGTATTTGTGGAACAAGCAATTTGTTCTAAGACCAATTAATGTGCAGGCATTGTCAGGATTTCGGTTTTACAGCAGCCTGGTAGAATGGGAAAGGCGTTGAAATGTGACAGGCAAGCAAGCGTAGCAACATCGGTGACATTAGCTTTGCGCAGCGGGTAGCTGCTTGAGCTGCCCTGTCATTAGTTACTTTAATAAGGTAAAAGTACGACACCTGTGGCTGACCAGTTGATCAGCAAAGATCTGGAAGAGCTTCCGAAACTGAAAATCGCCCGGGACCGGTCATCTACGAAAGCCAGCCTGAACCAAGCAAATCCAAAACCCTCTTTTTCATCCATCTTTTCCCCTTTCATTCCATAGGGTTAACAATATTTTTGAATGGTCGATTCATTCAACAATTGTCAAAAAAATAATTGATATAGCTCTATGAATCGTGGGTAACGTAGACTAGAATCATGGCTGCTCTTCCACTATGCACGACCGTAGGAATATGGTCCGTGAGGAAGAAAGCAAAATTATGCTGAGAGAAGCATTCTTGTGGTTGGTAACCGCGTAAAACATGAGAACCTATCTCGCATGTATCATTGAAACGGCGCCACTGGTGAGATTGACGTTAAGAGCCCCAAAACACGAACGCCCAGATGATTGGACTTAAAATTCCGATATAAGCTCTGTGGACCCTTAAGTGCTCATGTTACTTCCGACCGGATAGTGATAACCTTATCGACATAGAAGACAATAACTTACATAGAGCATGACCGATATGGTGAAGCTTTTCGACACATACATCAGCACAGCCCAACCACTGATCCACCCGTAGTCTCTTTTCTATCCAACGGCATATTATGGCTCACGCAGGATCTGTTCTTACAGAACGGTTGATTTGTGAATCAAAAAATACCGCGTCCGCGGACCTTCTCCAACGGTATCCTGTATAGACCATTACTTGCGGTAATATATCTGTGAAATTAATGTTAGTTAAGTACGTTCCCTAACGTAGATGGAAACTAGATCGCGTACCTTTTTGAACTGGAAATGAAGTTGGAGAATCCCCTAGGAGAATGTCAGTGTTCATTCAGTTCATGACAAGCTTAAAGACAGTAGATCTTGCCCGAAGGAACTATACCTTGTCAAAACTACTCTTAAATCCCCTCTCCCTTTTCGCACTATAATCCCATTCTTTGTCCACAATCCGAAATGCTAAATCCTCGTAAGGAGGACCAGCAACAAAACGAATAAGACAAGTATCCTCTTCCCCAGCTGGAGCAAATGACTGCCCGCGTTTCCTGCCATTTTCCCGCTCTATTTTGTAAGTCGGCGCCATGGTTTTATCGATAAGATCAGGGTAAAATATATTGAATTTATATCCTTGAACGACCTTTGGCGGTGGGTTATCGTAGTCGTAGTGGGTTTGATTATATTTATTCCACTCATAACCCATCTGCACACGATTGAAATATCTCGGCTTGCGAGGTCGGTACTTGTTGGCCCAGGTTGGCTTCGCAACTGTACTCACGGCTTCTTCGCCAGCAAAAATCTCTTCGTTTTCGCTTACTCCTCTTGCCACTTCTCGCTCGTACAGAGCTTTTGTGGCCTGAGAAAAATCTTCATTTGGAATCGCGGCAAACCGAGACGAAAATTGGGCGGGAGACGTATTTACTGCAGATGTCGCAACTAAGGCTGACTGTCTCCCTGCAGTACGGTGCCGTAGAGGGACAAATCCCATTTTAAGAATCTTTTGACGGTCAAGGGCCTGAAACAATATTAGAGATAGTTTGTAGAATGTATCTTAACAGTTTGACATACCACTGTGCTTAGAAAAGTTTCTTCGTCTAGAATCTCAAGTCCTTTATCTTGAGGCCGAAGGTGCAGAAGCGGCTCGGGGTCAAGTTCCTGTATAATCTCTTTGTTGGCGTGGGATGGGGCCATGCTGCCATTTCCTTCCGAAAAAGGTGCGAGCGGTGCAAGTTTCTTCTGTACAGCTGCCGCTTCTTCTCTCTGTTGTTTCCGCAGCCCTTGGACGCGGCTGTCAATAACAGCTTGGTAGACTTTCCTCAACTTCGCTTGGGCTTTCCAAACAGTTAAACTTCTCAGGAGTTGCTCCCAGTAATCTGTGTCGATAGGATCCTTGGAGTCAAGCTTCCGCCTGATTTGCACCTCAAGCGTTTCAAGTTCTTCTTGTGACTTTGGGCTGAGAAGTCTGTTAATATCTTCAACAACAGAATTCATCGCTCGGCCTTCAGGTGCGGACGCTTGGGACTTCTGTCTGCGGTCTCCACAGACTACTTTCATTGTCTATGAGATGGTCAATATATATCTCCCAAAAACGAACTGTAGATGCTATAGCATACCTTCCAAAAATCCCGATTCTTATGGTGCTTTTCAAGTGTCAAAAAAGTGTCTATGTCTGCCTCCAGGTCACGTAGTTGGTCGGGTGACAATCCCTCGAAAACCCCATTTGGGTCGATCAGGTCGAGTTCCGAATCAGCTATTTCATCATCCAAAGGGTTTTTTGTAGGATCAATGACTCGTAGGGTAATTGCAAGCCAGTCAATTGGCTTTGCACGTCCTTCCTTCACTCGTATCTCTGCTTTTTTCTTTGCTTGCTTCAGCACGAAATCGTCTTCTTGGGCAACCCATTCCCGCATTTTTTCATCCTCTTGAAGTTGGTTCAACTGAGTCTGCCCTTTCATACTCCACGGATACCGCCCAGAGGGACCGTTGCATCGAGATCCTCGCGAACGATCCTTAGCCAGGCTATCGCCATCCGTTTGACGAGGCAATTTCTCAGGGCGGCGCCAGGATGAGGGAGAGCGAGATCTGCTCCGTTTGGAACCCGTTCTGTCTGGGACTCTAAATGACATTGTAAAGCTATATCGTGTATTTCTGGTTTAGTTCCTTGAGAAGAAGAGGTTGGGAACGCCACGCAAGGTATTATGTGAAGCTCTTTGGCTGATGGGCTCGACCCAGACTAGTTGCTTACTAACCCATTAGGAAGGTTGGCCGGCCTCACTCCGAAAACCTTCCATTAGCGTTCTCAGGTCAATGGAATCAGTCAACCACCGCGCCAACCTCACTTGTCTTGAACGTATATGTGAAGGTGATGGTTCAGTCGAATTACCTAGGACATTATACAAGACTTTCATTCTAAAAGATATCTATATTACAATCTTGATCAGACAGAAAATGTCAAAATGGTCTATACTCCCTCTTCCAAATGGCAACAACACCCCTCATCTCCTTTATAAATACGTCACAAGCAAGTCAGGTTGCGAAATTTACTTGACAGATCTGGCATACATATGGTCACAGAGCCTAAGCCGCAGAGAAATCTTAAATATCGCATCCAAATATAATACCAGCATTGACCCGAGCGAAGATGAGGAACAGTATTTTGTTCTTCTGGAGAAAATTGCAGATGCGCTCCGAGGGTCCGGGGGCAGCTCGATATCATTGACGAGAGGCCCTGGAAACGAAGATCTCAAGCTCATCACATCAACAAATCTACCCCCTCCATTGGATCCTTTAGAGTGGACGTTTAGCCTTTTGCAGCTGCCCCCTGTTACTTTAACTAAACACATCCTGCTTCCAATTTTAAAGGGGGAGGCGAATCATGAAGCTCGTGTTTTGTCCCTGATAGACCATATAAAGCAGAAAGACTGGACTCTTAGCAAGTTATTTGACAAAATAGAGTCTTCTGGGATGGACTTGAGCACAGTGTTCCCTGGCATGGGAAGCGTACGGCTGTCTCGAAAAGAATCCATATATTCTCAAGCGTCGAAACACATTAAAGGCGCTGCACCATTTGACGAAGACTCATGGAAGCTTGAGTACCAAGCTAAGGATGCTGATTATAATCTGGGAGTTCACATTGCGAAGGAGCTTTCGGGCCCGTTAGTTGAGCTACCAGCCGATGACTTCATTCTCGAAAATTGGTGGGATAAATTAGGCGAAGGAGCTATTAACAAGCCAAAAATAGCAACCAAGGGCAAATCTCAGGAAGACCTCACACCGAGGAAATCACCCTCCCTAGCGGAACTGAAGGACAAAGAGGAAGAGGCTACCCAAAGTGATGATACTGATGAATTTCAGGTAAAGCCAACATTCTTAATTCCAACCCAAAAACTTCCTATTGAATTTGATTATATAGACTATGGAAACACCCCAAAGGCTGAAAAGCCCCAGCCGCAAACAGAGTAGGGAGTCTTCCAAAAGCAATCTCCAAAGACTTTCTAGTCCCACTGGGAATAGGGCTAACGAATCGGATCACGATTTAACAGAAGGAAGTTCTTCACCTGAATTTCCTAAATCCAAATCAAAAACCAAACGAATGGGAACCACTGGGGTTCACACCAAACATGAAAAGGAGTCATCTGCACCAAGTTCAGTGGAAACCGCTACGTCTGAGGATGGAGATCCGCGTCCACACCAACAGCACGGGCCAAAGGCCAAGGGGCTCGGAACTATTGGCGGTAAACAACCGACAAAGCGAAAGCAATCACCCGTGGAATCATCAGAATTCACAAAATCTGAAGACTCTGAGTCTGTGGCAAAAGTGGTATCAAAACCGAAAGCCAAGGGCTTGGTTGGAATGATCGGTGGGAAGAAAACTCCCAAGAAACCGAGGCAAGAAACACCAATAGAATCCACAGCATCGGACGTTTCTGATGTTACAAAATCAAAGCGAAAGCCAAAACAAGCCGAAAGCCCCATAGATTCTGAAGGCGTTCCTACCGCATCGGAACATGAGACTGAAGAATCAATTTCACCACCAAGCAAACGAAAACGGTTAGGTCATAAGGAACCCACGGGATCACCCCCTACATTAAAACAACAACTTAGGTCCGGTAATGTGGGTGGAATAGGTCAGATCGGCGGCAATCAGAAAAAGAAACAGCCCGAGATGATTGACGTAGCAAAAAGAAGTGACAAGAATGACGACACCGAAGAGGAAACATCACCAGAGCCCCGTCAGACCTCATCAAAACCCAAACGACCAGGTGGCAAACTAGGTATAATTGGTGGTCGTAGCAGGCCGGCACCAACATCCCCGCCAGCCAGTGACGACGTAAACCGAGCACCGGGTGGAGAACTGTCGGAATCACCAGTACCCTCTACGAGTGGAAAGCCCACGATGGCCACGTGGGCGTCGAAGCAGCCACCAGTGATTCCGGAGGAGAAAGAAAAAGAAGCTGAACAGGAAAAAATTGAAGAGACTCTTGAGGAACGGGCAAATCGCAAAAGGCAGGAGTTGAGGAAGCAGTTGGAGGCTAGGAATAAAGCTGGCGGCGCCGGTGGGCCGGCGAAGAAGAAGAGACGGTTTTAGCTGACGTTGAGATTAAGCGTTGTGTTCCCAATTTAAGAGACTGTAAAAACAATGCGTTTCTCATCACTAGCTTTGTGTAAGACTAAATAGTCGATTTACTTTTATTACCCTGTGGTCTCCATTAGTTGCTAGATACCCTGATGTTTCCTTGCCTTTTTAAGTTACTACTGTAATACAAGATGCAATCCGTTCAAAAAAGGCCAGAATCTACTTGTCTTCGGTTCCTCACTACCCAAAACGACTACGAAAAAAGGGGGTGCTCATTCAACAATATATCACTTACAGCCTTATACACGAACTACTATTATATTTATTTTCAATCGGGTTCATTTATCGCTCATATACCTTAATAATGTTTTCACACAAAGACGCGTTCAAGCAAACACGGATTACAATTATGAGTACAGAGTAGGGTGCCAAGGTAATATATATATACATGGGAAATTTTACCAATTCCTACCCTCAATTCCCATGGCATGCACGTGAACAAACAGGCAAAAACAAGGGAGAAATAAAGAAAGAGAAAATCAGAAAAAGCTTCTTTTCCCGTAACCCATCAAATAGTCTTAAATGATCAATGAAGAAAAATATAAGGGACAGAGGAAAAACCAAAAGTTCCACATTACATTCATAATTTGTTCCAACACCCTAAAATGCGATAGTGCTTAGCATTTTAATGCCACGCTATGAACAATGAAAGAGAAGGAGAAGAGTGTCGATATGGAAAAGTGATTCAGCAATATATCAAAAAGCAGCCGTAAAATTCCCTTAAAGACCAAAATATACATTACAAATACTTTGGTAGAAATCAGCATTTCAGATATCGAGTGCCTGTGCTGGGTGGTATGAGTTCCCGTCCCAGTCCCCGTTCCAGCTCCAGCTGCATCTCAAGTTCCAATTCCCAACCCCTTAACACCCTGCTGCTGGTCCCATTGTTCACTCGGAGTAACAAGTCTAACTTTCTTTGGGGACATGAGTACCGCGGAGCCAGCACTACCAAACCCTCCGCCGCCAGCAGTCACCGTAGAGGGTCCCGCTGGCGCTACACCCGCAGCAGCAGATGGTGTAGAAGGAACGCCCAGCATTCCCCTCACCCGCTCAACAGCCTTGCTTTCCCCAGCAGTCCACGAGTCTCTCTTTGCATAGCCAAGACTACTCTTACGTCCAGAAGAGCCATCCCGAACGCGCTTGGTTTCATCAAGCAGGGACGCGCGATATTGATCGCGTCTAGGACCTGGGCCGCAGTCATGGAGACAACCTGGTGTGGCACAACCGCCCTCGCTGATGGAAATGTCCTTTAGCCAAGCGGTTTGGCATGCTGAGTGGGCTCCGTGACCGCAGCCTTGGCACCAGGACCAGAGGGCGGTGCCGTGGGGACGATTGGCTACGTAGTCATCTGAGATATCGAAGTGCATATTATCATTCAAAAGATTATTACCACCTTGGAGTGATATCTCTGGGGTTGTAGAATGAACGACTGAAACAGAAGACTGTAGGGTCCATTCCATGGGAGGATCTCGGCTCATACATATAGTACACGGTGACTGCGGAACACCACAACGGTGGCATCGCCGGTTATCTCGTGTTGGGTTCTCGTACGGCCTTTTGCATTCGAAGCAATAGACGTTGATGTATGTATTTTGCTGGGCATAATCATAAACAGCAGGATATGTAGGTACACATAGAAGCCGAAGTTCGGCAGCTTCAACGAACATCCCCTGTCGGAGAAGTTGCTCGTTATACGTTTTGAAAATCAGCTTGCGCTGCTCATATGGAAGAATTTGTTCACATGAGGAAAAGAGCAAATGCAATTTACTCAACATGTGCGCCGCAGATTGTATGTCAACTGGCGAACTCGAGCAGTAATATAAAAGAGCCTCTTTAATAATGTTGCGTGGACTCCATGGCTGATTATCAGTTGGGCAAGGAGGGAGAGGGAATGTGATACCAGCTTCCTCCGAACGTTTAGGAGGGCAAAGAGTAGGATGTTCTCGATAACTAAGAGTAGACTTTCTTGAAGAAACAGGACCCTGCCGTGTTCGACAAGGTGATCGATCCCTTAAAATGGCGGTTTCTGCAAGGAATGGGAGAGGACTCAGCGGCCGTTCGAGATTCACCTTGTTGGACTCTGATGGCAACTCCACAAGTGAAGAATCTTCTGAGGAAAGGGCACTAATTTTCTCATGGGCCGATTTCGGGAAGGAATCATTTTTAAGCTCGTTTATTTTCCCCAACGAGCTTCCAGCTGCAGATTCACAGGCACCAACATTCTTTTGAGAAGTTCCCTCCGGCTTCGTCTGTGGCGAATATGATTCACTGTTGGATTTGGTTCTTTGAGAACTATCAGTGGCAGCAGAAAACATTGGAAAGCTTTCCGCAGAATCATGGCGTGCGTAGGTCACTGGGGGAGGAACTTCAGCATGACCATGTGACGTAGGATCAAGCGACAAAACCCTCTTTGGGAAAGACTTAAAATCTCGAAGAGCAGCTCTCTGCTCCTCTACTTTCTGGTCAAAGTCTTCCTCTTCGAGATTGTGATTTTCATAGGTGCTAATATCGTGCAAACGCCAATTGGCTCTTCCTGAGATGGCACGAGGCGCGGATCTCCTTCCGGAAAATACATCAGAAGCAGTCAATTCTCGCCTGAGTATGCGATCTGGTGACAAGCTGCGGGGCGAATCTTGGCCCCTGTCAATCACATTAGATTGGCGTTGTTTATTACTACTGAAGCGTTCGGAATTAACTTCTGCACGAGCCTCAGTTGCTTTTTGCCTGAAAGCGCCTCCTCCACTGGAACTTAAAACAGACGGCGGCAGGGGTGGTATGTCATCAAGCTCGTGGTCTGAATCAGAGCCCGAGGAGTTGGACCCCTTATTTTTACTAACGACAGGAGAATCCGGCAATGGCTTGGCAAGAGGAGTTGTCATGTTCGATGTAGTTTCCGCATCTGTCAGTGTGCAGGCAGGACTTTCTGTTTCTATCACCCCTTTGAACAGGCGACTCTTGAGCTTATCCGGAACAGTTTCTTCCATATTGTGGGATCTGTTAGTAGCATTACCATTCCCTGACATTCTCGATTTCGTGTTCTCCATCTGTTTCTCTGGAGCGGACGCAGCGTGCTCCATTCGAAATTCTATCTCTTGAATAACAACGGATTTCATGATTCTCCATGTTTGAGCTAGCCTATACAGCGAGGCGTCATCTGCGCATTCCGCATTCTGATCAAAGCTGACCCGCAGACTCTCTAGAAGACTAAACGAAGGACGTTTTATATCCACACTCTCCATTAATGGCGCATAGTGTTTAGCAAAATATCTGAATATTTCTGGGTCAAACGTAGCACCGGAAATATGGCCAATAGTACCAGTTTGCCTCAGCTCAAACACCCCACTATCTGCAATAGCTTTCTCGAGAGAAATAACTGTTGGGCCATGTTCTGATATTGGTGAAGTGCCGTTTAGTGATTTAGATCCCCTCCCATATGTGCTTTTGTTCCATCTCCTTCTTAACGAGGAAGCAACAGATTCGTCTAAACTGTCATCTGTCAGGCTGAAGCTAACTGTCCCCTTGTCCCCACTGCTAAGTCTTCCTGTCTTAAGACCCAAGAATTCCGCTGGACCCAAACTCACGTTCAATCCCGATCTTGGGGGACGTTTGTAGTTCATGGCGATAATATCACCATTTGGGCTCCATGCAACTGAACAAGGTTTTCGACGCTGAATCACCTGGGGCGCAAATTCAACATCTGTTTGGGTGAAAATGCCATCTACATCCACAGTCCATAACAGTTCACCAGAATGCCATAATAGATCGGTAGGTGATGTTCTGTAACGATCGATCTCTTTAAATGGAATGTGGGGTCTACGTAAATCCCAGATATGAATACGCGGATCCTCGTTGTCATAACTGGTAATGACTTGCGTCGACTGCCAATTTGAATTTTCTTGATTCTCCAAACCCCAGGAAGGTGGACGCCAGCGCACATTGTGAATAGCCTGCGGGGTGCGAAACTGGAAACATGGCTTCTGTCTCCGATCTGTAGACGAAAAGTCCCACACCTTAACCTGTTTATCGGTACTGCCACTTACAACATGCTTTCCATAAGGATGCCAGTCAATCGAAAAGCAAGGCTTTTCGTGGGCATTGATCTTTATCAAGGGAGCGTTGTCCTTTCGAACATCCCAGCGGTGGATAGCGCCACTATCAGTAGCTGTTGCAAATTCAACACCATCAACCGGTGACCACCTGATATCCCTGACAGCCTCGCTATGGCCATTGAACCTCGTTTTGCTACCAAAGTTCATCGCGCCTCTTTCCCCGGACAATATGCGCAGATCCCACATCCGAATCGTAGCATCTTGGCTGCCAGATAGGAGCCAAGCCCCGCGATGGGGGTTGAATGCTAGTCTGTGGACCTGACGATTATGTTCCTGGAGCCTGCCCAGCTCAAGGCCTGGACGGTTTAGATCGTAGATAAATATACTCCCGTTCATGACAGATGTCGCGATGATGCGATCATATTCTCCATGAGACCACTTCACGTCCTTCACGGCAAGTTGGTCCTTGCGTTTTGCAGACCATGCACCGGTTGATACATGGCGGCTCGTGTGATATGAAAAAATGGCCGCGCGAAGGTCGAATTCTTCCTCGCAAATATCATGAGCTACACGAATTGTTTTAAGGATCCCGCGCCCGGCAACGATGGCGTGTGTTCGTTGAGGCGAAATATCAAGGGCCGCGATGGGAAGTTTTGTATTGAGCGCGATAGTTTGTGAGGAACTAGGACTATTTGGAATAACAACATCATTAGACAATAGTACACATAGCTAGATATGTACAAGTAGCGGCAAAATAACCAATAATGCTTCGTTGTTTTTGCAGAAGTATAAAAGACAAGTACGGAACATACAGCACTATGGACTCTCCAGAGTGGATGACCACTGGCGCTTCCCGCGGCACACTTGGATGGGGACTGGGCGGCCTAGAGCCATAGATGAACGGATGCGCAAAACGCGCAAATGCACTTGTGGCTCTGTTGGCATAGCGCTGGGAAAGTAGTGATGGCGCAGGAGGCGGGGTTGGGATGGCAGGAGTATGAGATGGAGTTGGTGGGGCAGCAGCAGAATCGGACTGAGACTGGGGTTGATGGAAACCTGACATTTTGAGCTCAGATCCAGGCTGAGCAGTCTGGTGACGACTGCTGATCCATCTCTACTGCTGTTTCATGGGGGGCGGGTTGGAAGAATGCAGCAGACCAAAGTTGAGGTCAGGGGAGGGCAAGCGGTCTTGTGACAGTTGTGGCGGAGGCGTTCAGGGACAAGGCAGAAGAGTAGTTCAGTAGATTTAGGCTTCTAAATTGAAGCTCCGGATGGGGTCCTGAAGTGGTGGCAAACTGTTGTGGTGTGGTGGAAGTGGAAGTGGAAATGGAGGGAGGGAGGGAGGTAGTTTGCTCAGCTGAGATGGTGAGGTCCGAGGATGATGTCTGATCTGCCGCATGTGTCAAGTAGCGAACTTTGGAAGGACCCAGATTGCGCCAAGCCAAGACCAACCGTCGAACTCCACACACCAAACACTGATCGCCAGCCAAACCACGGCCAACATCTGCCCTATCAGGACTCAGAAGCGTCGGCTTCTGGAGAACAACCCAGCAACACGCCAAAGTAAGTGGATGTGAAGATTTAAGACATGTTCTAGAATTATGTTGCGATATGGTTCTTGCATAGTTAATAGAGCTATCCGCTTTTCATCTGTGAGGGGATCCGAAGTCCAGGGCAAACACACCTTTCTGAATGAAACTCCGTCAGGAAATTGTATCTATCTATCTCTGCAGCGGGGAAAAATGAACTGATGCCTCTGAAGAAAACACGTATTTTTACAAAAATATAGAAAGCCATTGAAAAGTACAACTACAGAACCACAATCAGAATTCGGCCTGGCGATCGCCTACAACGGGCCCTGCATTGCAAACATCGGAATCTCGCCTGGTGACAAACCCTCCTATTAACTACTGCTGTAACTCTCATCTCCTTTCCTGCCCCCTAAGCATTTCGCCGCTCTCCTCTTAACTACCCCGTCGTCAGTGCTTTGAATAACAGCCACCCTGGCGCAGCATCCATGTGAATCATCAAGACGAAACAAGGATCATTCCCGCCTCCTACAAGGTCATGGATTTGCACCCGCCACGTTGAACCGGATACTGTGCGCCGTTGCAGCGTATGGTATGCTCCAAAGGCTCCTGCAAAATCTTCCGGGATAGAAAGATGACCCGATGTTTCCCGGCACGAGCAGGGTAACCATTAACGACTATTAATGTTGATCGTCCCAAGTAATATAGACTCCATGGGTTATTGGGGCTACACACATGGTTCCCCTTTTTGTATTTTGTTTTCTCTCGGCCCTAATCCGTACCCTCCCCTGTTGTTTGCTTTGGAGGTGCGGAATGGAGTATTTGATGAAAGTATTATTAGTTAACTAGTTAACCAGTGATTTGCTGAATTAATAATAGCACTAGTTTAGCGTTTTTGTTGTCACTGAACTGGGAATCTGTTCGCAGCAGTCAGAAAGCATGACCTCAATACCTGGAATGATCGACTATCGATGGTTACCTTCCCAGCTGAATCCCCTCCCCCACTATGCTTCTCCAGCCCACAGTTCACTAAGTGTGAGGACGTTTCTAGGATCCGACAGCGTAGTCCCTCTTCAGAGCGGAGGGTTTTCGGGACGATGTGAGCCACATTATTGCCGAAGTGTTCGCAAATACCCAAATATCAGATAAGATGAGAGTACTCCACTTCCACTATTTCTAACACTGAGGGCATTTTGTATTTAGAACCTCTTGTTGAACCCAAATTGATCAAACCCCCCCCCCCCCCCCCCCTTTTTTTTTTTTTTTTTTTCTTTTTTAAGATATTGACATCACCGTACGCACATCTTCAGGTGTGTTGAGGTGAGGTATTTAATGACGAATATCACCTTCGTCCCTTCATTCTCTGCTCCGAGAGGAGAGGCTAGCTAGGCTGTACACCAGCTATCTAGATCACGTGTAGCAGGCGGAGTGTAACAACCGGTCCAGACAGGCTAACAATATTTATGTCATTGTCTCGATTCTCTTCGAAAAGTATTTTGTATCCTTTTCATACTAAGGTGTGCTGTCGTTCCAACAATAATAGGAAGTACGTACCTGGCCTTTATCTCGTGAATTTCTCCGCCCCAGATTTCGGGTCCCCTTAGCGCAGCAGCTCGAAGTCCATCTTTAGACCTTTGGGTTTGATTCCAGATATTTTTACTTTCAGTATCCTCAGATCTCGTTTATGCAGAAGATTCCCCGGATGCATACTAGCTTAGTGGTGCCTATTGGCTTGGGGGTTCATCCTAGTTTGAGCGGTGAGGACTCCTGAATATTAGGAGGGCTTTGACATTGTTGGCAACAGAGGGATAGGCTCGCAGATCTTGGGAATAGATAACAGGTTATTTGATGAAAAAGAAGAGACTGTGGGAGATATATCGTTAAGCTATGGAAGTCTCAGAAATTAAGAGCTTAGACAGTTGAAAGCGTTTAAGTCTGTCCTTTCCGTCTCCTAAGGGACTAAGAATGAAAGTCAAATATACTCAGCTAGACAAGCCGTAGTTTTATTCATCTTCTGAGAATTCTTCACACTCCTCCTCTTAACCCAGCAAACCTGTAAGAGGAATGTTCCCCAAATTTCTTGTCAGTGAAGGAAATGTATTTCTGTCTACAAATCTGTTAGGTAGAATATGGTAACAAATATCTTGGCGTAAATAGGTCGATGCCTATTGGATAATCTACCTCGATAGATGAAAGGTAAGCCTCTTTCAATGGTCGTTTTGAATCCTTACCAGGAGAAGAGCAAACAAGTGACGTCTCTCAAATCCCTTCTCGACCTGCTGGCAACGCAGGTTTCAGTGCTGATTACGGCACTGTCCTCCACAAATCAATCAACATATAGCTATTCCGTCATAGTTGTATTTCGAACCTGTTGTCCTTTTACGCCGTAGTTTTTTCGTGGTGGACGCTAACACAATTGGATAACTACCAACCTTCCCTCTGGAGTTATATCGCTAACTAGTTAGTTAGCTAATGATGATGACGAATAAAAAGCAAGTGGTCGCGTGAGAAAATAATGCTTCCTTAACCCCTTTGTCAGTCAGTAGTAGCGTGTAGTAGTCGTACTCCGTAGTTGGTAGTAGACCGATGCTGTCATCCGCCAGAAAACAAACTATAATAAACTTCCGCCCAGGGCCCTTCAAACATATTTAATTCCCCCTTTGCAAGAAAGTTAGGCAAACAACCGAAATTAATGAAATAAGGAGAGCAACACCAGAAAGATCTTTGAAGGTGGCAAGAACCAGATGGACTTCCAAAGAAACAAAAATATGATGCGTCCAGGAAGGATTGCCGGGACGCAATCTTCATGCCATGGGAGTAAGAAGCAAAAAAAAAATAATAAAAAATAAATAAAAAAAAAATAAAAAAAGAAAAGAAAAAGAAAAAGAAAAAGAAATAAAAAAAAGGCAAAGAAAAAAATGAAAAACAAATCCATTCAGTTGCTGTCAAGTCGGGTCTTGCCAATCAGCCCAGTAACCAACTAAAGAAAAGTCGAAAAGGTACCTAACTAATATTTATTTTATTTTTTTATTTTTTTAATTTTTTTTTTAAAAAAAACGCCCCTAATCGCGGCCGTTTCTGCTAAATAAAAAATAAAAAATGAAGAAGAAACAAATGCATACCAAAGTCCGGCACCCGAGACATCAGAACAAGCCAGGCCAGCATTCAACAAGCGCCAAGGGGGACCTTGAGAACCAGACCCAAACCCCGGCTCCACAGATCATCGCCAGCGACTCACCGAGTCACACGAAGCTGACCTTGTAAAATCTGGAAGCAGGCTAGGTTGTTTCTGGAGACTTGTCAGCATGCATTTGTATGGGGGGGAGTTGTTGCATTGTTAAGGTTGATATTTATTTTATTTTATTTTGGACTTGGCGTCTTTTTAGGAGGGTTAGATTTATTTTACTTCCTTTTATATTTCTGCAGCTTGATTTGTTGGAATGGGATAGAAAGAATAACATAGTGTTTTAACAAAATAAAAATAATATAATATTTTAACACTTGGCTCTGCAGTCTGCAGTCTCCACCACTTCTACTCCTCCCTAGTGCGTGTGAGCCTCTCGATCTGTTGTACTCTTGTAGTCAAGCGTGGAGTTCTGGACTTTTTCCTTTCTTATTGCCATGTACATACTTGCAAGAGGGAAGGAGGGTTTGGGCACTGCCGATTCGTGCCCAATGACTATGTATATCTCCTTCTATTTACCGCTTTGGTGGGTAGTTTGTGTTTCAGAAGCTCTGGCCAGTTGCGCAGAGTTTCATATTTATACTCCTCTGGTGCTTGAGACGCTTTTATTTATCTTTTGGTCTGCCAGTATGCTTTATATAAATGATAACTCGAGCTGTGAGTCTCGCCTTTTGGGCATCACTGGAGAAGAGCGACAATGTCCAATGTCTTTAAATTGTACTTTTTCATTTCTGGGTGAAATCCCGGCGATGATCAATTTCCGCTTTTGCAAGCTGCAGGCGGGTTAGTAACAGCAGGGCAGGACGACGAAAGGGGCCCAAAAAGGCCACATTGGCCACAGCCAATCCTGAAAAAAAAAAAAAAAAAAAAAAAAAAAACCCATATCACGAGCAAAGTGGCGAATGATGAATTCACCTCATGCAACACCGATATTCCTTGTGTCTAGTTGTCGGTGATTGATCAAATGCTTTCAAATTACGCCTCTTCCATAAAGTTGCCGGCCTCCTGACATCACTTTCCATAAGCGTACTGTTAGCTAATGCAAGATGATGCATTGTATTGACACGAAGGGAGAATATTTTTTTTTTTCCTTTTTTTTTTTTTTTTTTTTTTTTCTTACCATCCGTGGACCATCGTCACTCAAGTCCGGTACTCTCAGAGTAACATGCCTAACTATGCGAGATCGACCGTGGCAGCCACGAGCGGGATGGAGAAAAAAAATTAAAAATAAATAGAAAGACAACTAAAGCATTGCTGTGAAAATAGACTCGTCTGCATGCACGAGGTTATAGCCGGTAAGCGAGGGGAGTGGAGATATATTCCGACAACGATGGCTCGCGGACATACCCATCCCGTCCTGGACAACAAAGCCGTACACGATCTGGGAAGAAATTGCTCAGACGGTACACAATCGACACAAAAGCAAAGTTTGGGGGGTGAGAGAGGAAGGGTTGGTGTGTGGGAAGTGAAGTGACGACTGCTCCAGGTGCTGCAGTAGTAGTGAAGTTTTGAAAGATAGTCTCTGAGGTGTATATAAAAGCAGAGCGCTTGTACTCATTATGTTCCATGGTGTATACACAAGCGAAAACGAATGTCCACATTATTTTCAAATATCTAGCTTCATCGTTCTTCAACCGCGATCACTGCTAAACAGCCCCCCCCCGCCCCCCGATCCGACCCATAAACTCCCTCTCATGTGCAATAGCAGTGGAAGTGAACAACATAGTTGCCTGTTGAACCCGCCACCTGCTTCGACAGATTTCAGGACTTGATTATCTGTTCTGGTGACCAGGGGACACTTCGACGTCACTCACCCCCAGTTCTATCACGAACAGCTGTCACTTACGACGTGCACTTCTCTTATTTTCCCTTCCTGACGACATCTCGAACCCCACGCACGGCGGACATAAGTGCACGTTGGGAAAGGGTGGTTTCCCGAGTGAACTCTGAGGTCCACAGGTACCGAGTACAAGGAAACCGCGGTCCCTCAGGCCACGAACTGGTACCGGCTACCGCAGCCACTAGGCCCCCCTACCCTATCCTAACCCCCCCCCCTCTGTAGCCCAAGGAATCCGTATCTCTCCGGCTGGCGCGTCATTGGCGAGAGACATCTTAGTTATTCTGCAAGACGCCCTAGGGACCAACCACGACCCCCCGGCAGCCTCACCGCCCTATATAGCTTCCCAAGCTTGAG